ATCCAAGGTGGCGGCTCCTGGAGCAGTTGAGCGTCCTGGACTAGAAAGCAATAGATTTCTTGCTTTGCCACAAATTCCCCAGCTGTGAGCCTTCCAACCTTCTAAATATTCCTTTACATGTAGTTCAGAGTTCTGGGACCAGCCCCTGAGCCTGCTTGGTCGGGTATTCTGTGTTGTTGGTGGAGCTCTTTGGTACACACCCACCTGATCTACCATCTTGTTTGTTCTCCAATATAGACTTAATTAAGATAGACTGTTGTTGTTGTTAAGTGCCATCGAGTTGGTTCCGACCCACAGTGACACTGTATTAAGGTTTCCAAGGAATGGCTGGTGAGCTTGAACCACCAACCTTGCAGTTCAAACAGACTTTGCAGTCCAGCACATTAGCCCACAGTACCATACCAGGACTACAGACACAGAGATTAATGGAAGATAATTTAGAGTATAGAAACACACATTTACAGTCAAGTGATTTTTGTCAGATGTGCCAAGACAATCCAACAGGGGAGAGAACATTTTTTTCCACAATGCTGGGACAACTAGATTGTCATATGTAAAAGAATAAAGTTGAATCCCTTTCCCAAACCACACATAAAAAAATAAATTTAAAATAGAGACCTAAATATAAAATGAAGCTATAAAATTATTAGAAGAAAACACAGCAGCAAATCTTCATTCTCCCAATTTACGCTTGGTTAGGTAAAGCCTTCTTAAATAGGACACCAAAAATGTAAGCAACAAAAAAATAAATAAATTGAACTTGAAAATTTCAAATGTTTGTATTACAAATGAAACCATGTAGAAAATTAAAAGACAAGACAGAATGAAAGAAAACATTTCCACATTATTTATCTGATAAGGGATTTCTATCCAGAACACACAAATAACTCATAACTCAGCAATAAAGATCTAAATAGACATGTCTCCAAAAAAAGATATACTAACTGCCAAATGTTGTTAAGTGCCGTGGACTTGGTTTCAATGCACAGAAAACTTGTGTAAGGTTTCTGGGGCGTTTAAAATCTTTTGCAGGAGTTGAAAGCCTCATCTTTCTCCTGTGGGACAACTGGTATGCACCAAACACCGACCTTGTGGTTCACAATTCAGTGGTTTTTCCTATGCCATCGTGCTCCCTAATGGCCAAATACGTACACAAAAACATGTTTAACCTCATTAGTTATTGTTTTTGTCGTTAAGTGCCATTGAGTCAGTTCCGACTCACAGAGACCCTGTATAGAGTTTCCAAGGAGCAACTGGTGAGTTTGACACTGACCTTGAGGTCCAATGCTTATCCTACAGTGCCACACCAGGACCCTCATTAGTTACTGTTGTTGTTAAGTGCTGTCAAGTCAGTTCTGACTAACAGTGACCTTGTAAATAATTGCCAACCTTGCGGTTCAAACTGATCTCATGGTCCAGTGCTTATCCTACAGTGCCATACCAGGACACCTTATTAGCTACTGTTGTTGTTGTTAAGTACTGCAGAGTTGGCTCCAACCCATAGTGACCCCATATAGGGTTTCTGAGGAGTAGCTGGTGAGCTTGAACCTCCGACCTTGCGGTTCAAACCGACTTTACAGTCCAGCACATTAATACACAGCCCACACCAGGACTTCATTAGTTAATAGGGAAATGCAAGTCAAAGCCACAGTGAGCTACCTACCACTTCATTTCCAGTAAAATGGCCTGCTGAGGATATGCAGAAACTGGAACTTTGGTGGTGACAACATAAAATGGTGATGTAATCATTTTGGAAAATAATTTGACAGTTGCAAATGTTAGACATAGTTACTACATGACCATGTAAATACCTATGTAAATACCCAAAATAAATGAAAACATGTTAAAACAAAATTTGTACACAAATGTTCAGAGAAGCATTATTTATAATAAAAAGGAGAAATAACTTAAATGCCCACCAACAGTAAATGGACAAACAAAATGGGGCATTATCCATACAACAGAATACTATTCTGCAGGAAAAGAACTGATGTACAGACATATACTACAATACAGATGAACCTTAAAAACATTGTTAATTAAAAGAAGGCAAGTCTTAAAAGAACATATATTGTATTTTTCTATTTATATGAAATGCCTAGAAAAAGCAAATTTATGATAGAAAGACTAGTTTTTGCCTAGTGTTTTAGTCTATGTACATAAAAAGCCCAGAATAAGCAAATTTATAGAGATAGAATAAAGGGTAGATTTATAGTGATAGAATAAAGCTATGGTTTGGGGTAGGAGGTTGTGGGGAGACTATGAAGTGATTGCTAATGGATACGGGGTTTCTTTTGGGGATGATGAAAATGTTCTAAAATCCAGTTTGTGGGATGACTGCACAATTTGTGAATGTACTAAAAACCACTGAATTGTGTACTTTAAATGGGTGAACTGTATGAATTACAGTCTGTATGCAGTATGTGAATTACACTGCAATAAAGACATACAGACAGTGAATATTATAAAAAGCATCCTTAAAGTAGAAATCATATTTCATCATCTTGTGTGCCTTATTTAACACTCAACTGGCCATGTAATAATGTAAGCTCTACTGACACTGCTCCCCTTTCCACATGGTCCACTGCAATTTCTTGCACATAGTAAATGATCTTTCAAAGCACTATAGCTTAATTATCTGACTTTTGCTTAATAAACTCTTCCCTCACAGATAATTTAGAATAATAAACCTGAACTCATTCAGTAATGATGGCCATGAATGCAGTATCAGCAATGGCCTCTAAAATGTTTTTGAAGTACCGAAGAACAACTGCTGTTTGTCAAAAAATTTTTAGTAGAAAATATTTATGAATATTGACATTATAAATAGAAAGCTATGATACTATTTAGCATTAATAATAGCACATTTATAAAATATGAGTTCCAAATATACAGCTTGACACAGCAATCAAATATGTGAAGAAAATGTCTGAAAATATAAAGTTAAATCAGAAGGTTGGCCATGGTTACTTAACACAATGATGTCTCCACATCAATTATTTTTATGAAAGGAAGTCTGAACAGAAAAGAGGGATCCTTTTATAAACCATTCTTGAAACAAAGCTGAAAATTACCTCTTTTTTTTTTTTTAACTTTTATTTTTTAGAGAAGCTCTGAGAAAGAAACACAGGGAGGAAAAACAGGAAGGATAGAGAGAGTGAATTAAAGTAAATTGGTATCATGGTATTCTAAATTTTACGTTATTTTATTAAATTTTAATGTCATTTTTCTATAGTTTGACTCACCAAGTCTACAGCCTCTACAGATGGCTGGTTTGGCTGAAACACTGAGTCTTCATTTTCACCTTCATTCTGCGTGCATGGCATTTGTTTTGAAGGAAGTAAATTATACCACAGAGTGAAAATCTCATTGGAAAATGGTAAATCGGCCAAGCTGATCTGAGTTCCAGCCTATGTGAAAGGAGAGAAAACAGCAAAACAACAAAACACAAAAGAGAGAAAATAAAATATTTAAATTAGAATTAATAGATGAGCTTGTCTCAGGGTAAAATTACTCATGAAATAAAGCACTGGTAAATTTTTAGAAGCTCAGAGATACCTTGTGTTTTCAAGCATTATAACATAAAAAATAATCACCAATCTAAAAGTCGACCGTTAGATTTGTTGTTGTTATTGTTGTTAAGTGCCGTTGAGTCAGTTACTAGTCATATTGACCCTGTATAGGGTTTCTAAGGAGCGGCTGGTGAGTTTGAGCTGTCGACCTTGTGGTTCAAACCAACCTTGACGTTGAGTGCTTATCCTAGGGCACCATGTCCATTAGAGTGACTTTTATTATTAAAAAAATGAAAACAAAAACAAAACTCCATTATCCACTGGGTGGTTTGGGAATTGGAGGTGGAGACAAGAAAACTAGTGCACTTTGGTTCGTTGTGAACCATTGGATAAACTTTCTTCTTTTTGTGAAATGTTAAAAAGTAAAAGCGAAAGGTTTTCATGGTGTACCAAATCACACACTTTAGTCAGAACCTAAATTAAACAGCATTGTTTTAAAAAAGGCTATCAATAATGTACATCTTAAAACTACATATTTTCTTTTTGACAATCCAGATCTTTATCTATTGATTAAAAAAAAATTTTTTTTAAACCTGTTGTTGTCATTGCTAAGAGTTGGTTCCAGCTCAGAGTGTCCTGTATAAGGTTTCCAAGGAGCAGCTGGGGGCTTTGAACCACCAACCTTGCAGTAAGCAGTTCAGTGCTTATCCTACAGCACCACATCCTGTTGCTGTTAAGGTGCCATAGAATCAGTTCTGACTCAGAGCAACCCTATATACAACAGAACGAAACACTGCCTGGTCCCGTGTCACCCTCACAATTGCTGTTACGCTTGAGCCCACTGCTGCCGTGTCAGTCCATGATGTTGGGGGGGTCATCCTCATTTTTGCTGACCCTGATGACAATATGTTCTTAGTACGATTGAGGAAGTCTGGCCATCCTGGTTTCTAAGAAGCATTCAGGCTGTACTTCTTCCAACACAGATTTGTTTGTTCTTCTAACAGTACACGGTACTTTTCATATTCTTCTCCAATACCATAATTCAAATGCATTAATTCTTGTATGCTCTACCTTATTCAGTTTTCAACTCTGACATGCATATGAGGTTACTGAAAATACTATTGCTTAGGTCAGGCCCTGACTAGTCCTCAAACTGACTTTGCTATTGAACACTTTAAAGAGGTGATGTGCAACAGATTTGTCTAATGCAATACGTCATTTGATTTCTTGACTGCTGCTTTCATGAGTGATGAAAGTGGATCCAAGCAAGTCATAAATCTAAAGTTAACTATTTCACAGGTAAAATCAGTATTATTATTTATTCAACTTCATAAGACTTTTTGACACAATATCTGCCAATCTAGCAAGTGTAGCAAGTGAGGTTGGTCAGTTTGCTCATATACTTTGACCTTGTTACCAAGATGGACCAGTCCCTGGAGAAGGATATCATGCTTGGTAAAGTGGAGGGTCAGGAAAAAGAGCGGAAGACTCTCAGTGACATGGATTGACACAGTGGCTGCAACAATGCACTCAAACATAACAATAATTGAGAAGGTTGCGCAGGACTGGGCAGTGTTCCTTTATGTTGTACACAGGGTTGCTATGAGTCAGAACTGATTTGATGGCACTGAACAAACAAGTCTATTATACTTTCTGTTATCTAACTTTAATTACTGTCAGACAATATTACCAAACATTCTTTTCAAAGAAAAGAAAAATTTACTAAGAAAACCACCACCTTTTTAAACAGTGTTCATCATGAAATACGCACATTTCTGTGATTCCTAATGCACTAATGAGAAGAAAAACTCAAGTAAGAGACCCACCTTACTTTTGAAAACATGGACTCCTCTAGGACCTGACCTTTAAACCCATTACGTCATTTTTCTGGTTATTATGTATATGTTAACTCATTATGTCTATATAGACTCCTACTTTTTGCATGTAAATACCATACCGCTTTAAACAGCACCACATCTTCTAGGAGCTGTCCCAGCATGGTGGTGGGATGGCAAAGAGCTCAATAAAAGAGCTCCAGATGCAGACTCTTGCTACAGCTACATGTGCAGCAGTGACCCATGTGTGCGATGTCTTTTTTATCTGGCTCTATCATTCACTAGTCCATCATTCAGGGACACACCACTACCTCTCAGGCAGTTTTTAATCTAAAAACGGGATAATCACACCTTTCCCATACCTTTCATAAGACTGTCGTGAGGATTAAATGAGACAATATAAACAATGTACTCAGCACAATGCTTAGCATTGGGAGTCAGAAGCACATTCATTCTGTAAGTGACAGTCATAACAGAGGTAAACGCCTTTCTTTAGACAAAGAGTAGAAATGGAAAGTATCTTTTAAAGAAATTCAGAATTTATAAGCAGATTTTAAACAGAAGGAAGAACAGAAATCAATATTACAGAAAAAAATGAAACAACTATTTGCTATGTGCTGAGGCACTCTGCAGATTAGTAGTGCTTGCAGGGCTGAGAAAATAGCAACTACAAAATATATTCTCAGAACATACAATAATAAGTGTTATTTAGTAATGGTAATTATGAAAAATCCTACCAGGCATTCTTCCCTTCGGTGTGTAGTGACAGAGCAAAGGTCGACTCTCAGCGTCTTCTGTTGTAAGGCCGTTTGGGAAATAGCCACTCTGAACACATCATTGAATAGAATGGATTCTGTGGCTGGGTGGACTTTTGTTCTGAACAGACAGCTGACATCAGTTGAGGAGGGAAGTACAGCAACCCTAAAATAGCTGCAAAGAACAAGAGTAAAATGCATTTTGCAGAAACCTCAATTATACTGAATTCACAGTTATCGTTTGAAATTATCTACAGAGTGAGAAACACAAGGAAACGTGGAGTACATTGTCAACCTAAAGCTGTGCTGCTCCAACGGATCCAGGCTCAGCTGCAGAGAGAGGCTCTGCTGAGCCCTGTGTGCTGGCTGAACCACTGAGCAGACAAAGGCCCTGCTTCCACTCAGTGCTGCCTGAAGTCCACCACAGGGCTGCAGCAAAGGCCCAAGATGGGGCAGTCAAGAAGAAAGGCAATGGGGAGAACAACTTTAAAAACCCACTTGCCCCCAGGCGTAGCCAATTCTAAAACAGAGACATCTGAGCCTGGGAGAATAGGAACATACTAAGTATATACTGATGATATGCCAAAGAATCTACACTGAAGTATTAAATGAGACATGAGGATGGTATTTTCCCAGGAATACAACGCATTCTCCTACTAGCAAAAAAGATCGAGTAGCATATTGTTAAGAAAATTTCACATAGATGAAGTAACAGTTCAAAAATATAATTGCCTAGCATTTTAGAAGCCTCAGATACAACAAACTATTAAGTCTTATACTTTGCAAAGTTCAAAGGATACTGCTACAGAAAACCAATAATGTCTCATAATTCCTCATCTGAAGCACATACTATAAATCCCAGAAAGCGCTCACTCACTAAATGTCTCCCACCTTCCTTCCCAGGCTTGTCTAACTTAAATGCTAAAGGTGACCTTTCTCCAACTATGCTGTTGTTGTTGTTGTTGTTAGGTGTCTTTAAGGCAGTTCCAGTGCATGGCGACCCTACGTACAACAGAACGAAACACTGCCCAGTCCTGTGCCATCCTCACAATTGCTGTTACACTTGAGCCTATTATTGCTGCCACTGCACCAATCCATTTAGCTAACTCTTCACTTTACCAAGCATAATGTCTTTCTCCTGGGGCTGGTCCTTCCTGCCATGTCCAAAGTGTGAGAGACGGAGTCTCCCCATCCTGGCTTCTAAGGAACAGCTGGCTGTACATCTTCCAACACAGATTTTGTTTGTTGCTCTGGCAGTCTGTGGTACTTCTAGTATTCTTCTTCGACACCGTAAGTCTAATGTATCAATTCTCTTAAGGGCTTCCTTATTTTAAGGTCTACCTTTCTCATATAAATGAGGCTACCGATAACACCATGGCTTGGGTCAGGCCCACCTTTGTACTCAAACTGACATCTTTGCTCTTGAACACATCTGATTTCTAAACTGCTGCTTCCATGAGTGCTGAGAGTGGATCCAAGTAAAATGAAGTCTTTGACAACTTCAACCTTTTCTCCACCACTTAACAACAACAAAATTTGCTAGTCTAGTGGTAAGGATTTTTGTTTTCTTTATATATTGAGGTATACCCCATAGGGAAAGTTGTGGTCTTTGATCTTCATCAGCAAGCATTTTAAGTCCTCCTTGCTTTTAAGCAAGCAAAGCTGTATCATCTATATAAAGCAGGTTGTTAATGAGACTTCCTCCAATCCTGATGCAACATTTTTCTTGTAATATAATATATAATCTATATAATCTAGCTTTTCAGATTATTTGCTCAGCATACAGACTGAATAAATATGGTGAAAAATACAACCCTGGAGCACACCTTTCTGATTTTAAACCATTCTGTATCCCCTTATTCTGTTCCAACGACTATCTCTTGCTCTATACACAGGTAGGTTCCTTAAGAGCAAAATTAAATGTTCTGGAATACCCATTCTTTGCAATGACACCCATAGCTTTTCATGATCCACACAGTCGAAAGCCTTTGCAAAGTCAATGTGGTATTCTCTGCTTTCAGCCAAGATCCACTTGCCATCCACAATTATAGCCCACATTCCAAGTCCTTGTCTGAATCTTGCTTGAACCTCTGGCAGTTCCCTGTTGATGTACTGTTAAAGTCATTTTTCTAAATTACAATGCAGAATTGAGGATTGTCATACATCCCTATATTTTATATCAACATTATTACAGAGACTTAACATTCAAAACTTCGTGGATGCCTGGTCACTACTGTTTTAAGAGCCTTCCTAGGGCACAGATCACTCCCCCTGGGAGGCTATAGATTCTGTGGTAGAAAATCTTATTTTTGCTCCCTTCATGTAAAAGCAATAAAGGAGAAGTATATTACAGAGTATACTAGAGCAAAAGATCATTAAAAAGACCGAAAACAAAGAAAAGACCAAAATGAATGTCAGAAGAGACTCTGAAACTTGTTCTTGAACAGACAAGGGTTAAAGCAAATGGAAGAACAAGTGAACTAAAAGAGCTGAACAGAAGATTTCACAGGTTGACAGAGAAGAATTCAAGCCTTGAGTTGCAAATGAAAGAATTATCTGGGCAAAATATTGAATGACACAGAAAACCTCAAAAAAAGATATAAGGAATACACCTTATACGCCTTACTGTACCAAAAAGAGTTAGTCAATGTACAACCACTTCAGGAAGGAGCACATGATTAAGCACCAACAGTAGTGGAGGAAGAAGTCCAAGATGTACTACAGCACTGGAAAAAACAAGGCTCTAGGAAATGACAGACTACTTATTGAGGTTTTTCAACCAACAGATGCAACACTGGAAGTACTCACTCTTCTATGCCAAAGACGTTTGGAAGACATTTCCTGGCCAACTGGAAGAGATCCATATTTGTGCCCATTCCAAAGAAAAATAATCCAACACAGTGTGGAAATAATCAAACAACATCATTAATCACACATGAGTAAAACTTTGTTGAAGGTAATTCAAGAACAGTTGAAGGATTACAGTGACAAAGAACTGCCTGATTCAGAAGAGTTCATGGAATGAGTGTTATCACTGCTGATGTCTGATGAATCGTGGCTAAAGATTCCCTGGATCTTATTGGCTATGCAAATTATGAATAACATAGCAAAGAATGGAAATTTCAGAGCACTTAATTGTGCTCATGTAGAGCCTATACATAGACCAAAAGGTAGTCTTTAGAACAGAACAAGGAGTTACTGAATGGTTAAAAATCTTAAAATGTATCAGAGTTATATCCTTTCACCATAGTTATTCAATCTGTATTATCAGCAAAATATTTAGAAGCTGACTATAGGAAGAAGATCAAGATTGAAGGAATGAAACAACCTGTGACATGCAGATGACACAACCTTGTTTGCTGAAAGTCAAGAATACTTAAAGCACTTATTGATGAATATTGTAGACTAAAGTCATCACTATAGATTATACCTTTACATAAAGAAAACAAAAAATCCTCACTTCTGAATCCATACACAATATCCTGATAAAACACAGAAAATATTGAAGTTGTTAAGGATTTCAATTTACTTGGATCCATAGTCAATGCCCAGGAGAGCAACAATCAAGAAAACAAATGATGTACGGCACTGGGCAAATCTGTTGCAAAAGACCTCTTTAAAAGTGATCAGAAGCAAAGATGTCACTTTAAAATTAAGGTGTGCTTGACCCAAGCTTGCCATAGTTTTTGAAATCAACTCAGATGCAAGCAAAAGCTGGACAGTGAATAAAGAAGACCAAGGAAGAATTGATGCTTTAGGATGATGGTGTTGGAGAGGAATATTGAATATGCATAAACAAATCTGTTTTGGAAGAAGTACAGTCATATCCTGTTTAATTGTGCTTCTCAGATGCTGTGTTTTGTTTTTATAAATTGAAGGTCTGTGGCAACCTTGCAATCAGGCAAGTCTGTCGGGGATATTTTTCCAACAGCATGTGCTCACTTTGTGTCTCTGTGTCATATTTTGCTAATTTTCATAATATTTCAAAGTTTTCATAATGCTATTGCATACTTAACAGACCATGTAACTTCTATCTGCACTGGGAAATAAAAAACTTGGTGTGACTCCCTTTATTGCAAAATTGGCTTTATTGCAGTAGACTGGAAGCAAACCGCTATTATCTCTGAGGTGTTCTTGTAGAGCCAGAATACCCCTTGGAAGTGAGGATGGTGAGATGTCATCTCACATACTTTGGACATGTTATCAGGAGGCATCAGTCCCAGGAGAAGGTTACCAGGCTTGGATCAAGGTAGAGGATCAGCACAAACCAAGGAGATCTGTAACAAGATGGACTGACACACACACAGGCTGCAATAATAGGTCCCAACACTGCCAACGGTTACAAGGGCGATGCAGGGCAGTGTTTTGTTCTGTTATAAACGCCAGCATATTAGAGAGTCAGAATGGAAGGGATTTTCTGTCTTTCTGGCCTTCAGTTTTACTGTCACCAGGGGATTAACCATTTCAGGGAGCTTACATGTTTCCCAGGTTTAAAACAAACAAACAAGGTTTTAAATAGTTTAGATTCAAAGGCATAAGAAAAGTACTTTTCCTCTCATTCTGCTGCAGTGGTCGCCTTGAGCTGCTACGGAAACATTATGGTTGCAGCCAACCAGCTGAAACATAAACTCTGTTCACCGTAATTAATAATCAAGACTTCAGTTGTGAAAGGCTGAGTTATTAAAGGGTATTTGACTAGGTTGTCAGTTCTAGCTGTGTCACTATTTAGGTCAAGTGTTTTTGACTGAGAAAAGAAAACGTTGCTTTGATCTCTGGCATATTCAGAGAGTTATATATAGACAACAGAGAATTCTGTGGACCCAGGTTGGGCTGAGTATGACTACTGGACCACACCCATACCTCTGAGGGCACCGAGGTAAGTGACTATGCTGATGTGGTGGCAGCAGAGCATTTGGGTCGGTTTGCCCTCACAATATTACACATGTACTCTTGGGTCACTTGGTAGTTTTCTCCTGCACTTTTTCAAGTTTCCTCTCACTATTCATACATTTTGTCCTTACTAGACCTGTCTCCTCCCTGTTATGCCACAGAAACCTTTACTAAAAGGTTGTCAACATCACTCTCCAATATAACAGCATATTCATTGGTAGGGAGCAGTCACAAATTAATACTATATAATCAGGCCAGTCTTCCCTGAATGTTGATGGCTGGTATTTTTAAGTTCCATTCTAGGAAACAGGTGTTCCAACCATGTTCCCTCACACTTTCTCTCTTTACTGTCCTCCTCTCCATTAGGTAGCTCCTCCCATGACTTGATCCCAGGAGGCCTTCCAAGGAATGCTACTTCACTTCCCTCCAGTTTCTACAATCATCAAAACATAGACATCCACTAGCTCTATTCTTCTATCCCTAGTAAATAATCTAAATCTAGCTATTTTGTTTCTAGATCACGTTTCCTTTACGATGACAATTCTTGGACTATTACACTGTGAACTTAAAAAGTGAATGTGAAGGGAAAACATTCATTAACTATTGCATTGATTCCTTTAAAAGTCCCTTTCAACTGAGGAATGTCATTAAGGAAAACATCCACCTGGCTGGGTGAAGATCTGGGCATCACCTTCCACGAGCTCTTTCTCATGTCCTTTCTACTGCCATATTCAGGTGTCCTGCTGTGATACTGTAGGATTAGCACTGGACTGTTAACCAAAAGGCTGACACTTCAAACCACCAGCTGCTCCTTGGAAACCCGACACACAGTCACTGAGTCGGAACTGTCGCAATAGCATTTAGCAACAACAAATGTCACATTAAACCTGCTATTTAGACCCAACTCTTACAATGAAGTTTAAATGCAGGGTGGACTTACAGATTCTAGAGTCTAAGTCAGAGGTGCCAAGTGTACCTCTGGCTTCTTTATATCAATTTCCAGCCATGGACCCTTAAGCAAGTCTCTGAAACTCTGACTCCAGAAAGTGCCATGGTAAAGGGAGGAAAATATCTCTAGGAATATGTTAGGAAACAAACAGTCCTTAAGCACAGTCCTGGGCTGTGTAGAATTATGCCATCACTTTGTTGGGATTCTTGGCTTGAGAAAGTAAAATCACTTAAATTACTGATCACAGGGAAAAGAAGGTTTGCTGATAAATACACATTTACATGTAGCACAGAAAGATGCCAGATTGGCAATGCTGCATTGATAAATAAAATGTAATGAATGACTACATTCATTGTAAAATTTCTAAGACAAAAGTAGTAACAATTAAGCAATAACAAAAAGTTGAGTCATATTTCAAGCAACCAGGCCCCCACACTGCCTAATGCAAAGTTAGTGGGTAAAAAGACTTGGTTACCCTTCTTAGCAAATTGAATAAGGACCAAAATCTAATGTGCTTTTTTCATATTTTCCTTTTCATCTTTACATTCTGTTGATTTCTATATATGTACATATATGATTAGTCCTGTTGCGTCTTTTCCATGGTTGTATTTTGATAAATTTCTTGATTACCATATAAACTTATTTTGCATGGAAATTTTTAAGTTGCTCAATTTGTTGCTCACTGGTTTTACTTACACTTTTAGTGTGTGAGGTATCAAGAAGGCCTGAAGATTTCGGAGTTGTGCTATAATCACCATGAAACTTGAATTTTTTGCATCGTATCTGTCAAAAGACAAACTGAATGAAAGAAGGAATGGCCACAGTCCACCCTCACTGTGTAAGTATTCTAGAATGTCTTCCCCCCGCCAGCCCCATGCAGACTCTTTACCTGAGTCCAATCTGCACCTGGGCAGTCTCCACAATGGTACCCTCCTCTTCACTGTATGCAATGTCTTCAACTTCACTAGGCCTAGGGGCAGGGAGGACGAAAACAGATTACTAACACAGATAGTGACTGCTATGATTAATTACTATTGACCATTTAATGATTTTGAAATAAAACCTGAACAAATATCACACCTAATACATCCCTGGTGGCAATACCACTGATAAAAACTTACTATGAGAGGTACTTTGTTCAGATTTGTCAGAGGGGTCTGCCTCTGAGCCTTCAGGGAAAAACTTCTGTTGCCTGATGGCCCTGGGCTTTATGACGGTACACCACACTTCTAGTAACTACACGTAGTCCAGGTTTTCAGAAATACACATGAGAATTGTCATGTTCCAAACAGGCACTGACTGACCACACCAACACATCCGTCAAACTCAAGACCACTGATCTCTATTTAATTTCCCTGGCTGATGGGATGGTTTGGGGAGACTGAAGTTTTTGGCCATACCATGTCTTTAATGGCTAATGCCCCGACTACTACAGGGAATGGACAAATGGTAACAATGCATTCATACTATGTTAGGTCTCGGGTGGGGCAATGAGGAGGTACAGGGCAACTGCCTGCCCAGTCCTTACTGTTTCACGAAAGCTTCATAGACCCCACTGTCTCCAGCCACAGACTCATCAGACACAGCAGCAGACACACAAGCTGTTTTCTCTCCAAGCAAATGGATTGCTCTTCTTCTTGGTAAACTTTTTTCCACATCTAAGGAGGGAGAGTAATACCACTAATTAGGATTCCTTACTAGGAAAAGTTAAGTATAAAATACATAGTTTGTACACAAGAAATACAAAATAAATACCACTTAAAAACTGACGGAAGTTACTGCCAAAACCAACAGATGGGGACAATTCAAAGCATTATGACTATGAAGATTCTTGGGACACCAGTAGTTATGGAACTGAACTTACCCAGATGATCATTTCAACCATTTTCTACTTTGTCCTGAGTTATTTTAGGGGATGGGATAAAAGACCCAAATTCTCATTGACCTTTTGCCTATCTCTTCTAAGCATTCACTGCAGTTACCATGAATTTCGAAGTCCCTGGGTGTGTGCTCAGCTGCTAACTAAAAGGCTGTAGGTTTCAGTCTACCCAGAGGTGCCTTGGTAAAAAAGACCCAATGATCCACTTCCCCAAATCAGCCAGTGATCATCTTGTGAAGCAGAGCTTTCCTCTGACGCACATGGAGCTGCCACAGGTCAGAGCTGACTCGATGACCAAGTGTGGGAAACTACCTGCCTCCCTCAAGTGTTAGAAATATTTCTATGGCAGAGAGTTTCTAGCTACTCAATAGCAAGAATGGTTTTCACCTCTTTGCTTTCCCCTTCTCTCCACAGGCCACATTTTACATCTTCTATACTACTACTTTAATAGAAATTAAAGAAGGATCTTTGACTTACAGAAATTCTGCACAAGCTAATAACATTTTAAAAAAACTATTGTGCTACCGAGTTCTTAGCACCAACTACTACTTAACTTTTATCTCTAACTCATATTCATACGCCAGCATCCTGCAGTGAGCAAGGAGCATTCATCTAAAGCTGTGTTCCATACTGTAATAAGCTGCAAGCCTGTGGAGTTCTTTCATCCTTGAGTGAGCGAGCTGGATCGGTGTTGGTATGCATTTTACCCCCCTTCTGAGTTGTGACTTTACATCTTGTTAAGATGTTTAAGTTTTAAGACTTCAGATTACAGGATTGATTGCTACATTTTCCCTTTTATTTCTGGCAGTGGGAATGCTTTCCCCTTGATGATGAAGTGCCTTCTCCCCACCCAGGCCTCTTTGTGAGGGGTGAAGGTGATGACATGATTTATTGATTACCCCCAGGAATAACCACAGCAGCCTGAAATTGACTTTGACAATGACAGAGACCGACTGTGAAAGGACTTCGTAGTTATTCCAACTTGGTGTCTGTCATCCTGCAGGGATTGGTGCTGGAGAGCAAAATGGATGTAAAAGGAACTCGGCTTTGCCTGCTTAAGACTCTAGAGCACTGAAGGACATGAACAGTGTCACTGACCAGAAGCCACCGCCTCAGTGTGAAGAGAGCAGGCATCAGGGAGTGGAAGAGAATTCAGTCTTTTCACATATGGAACAGTGTTATTGGCAAACAAGGCTATTGGGTGTATTTTCCTTTTGTGTGCCTTCTAGTGGCAGTTTTCTAAGAGACCATATTATAGTTTAACTTTCTAACATAGAAAGTTGAAACGTATCTCATGGAAGCTTCACAGACACTAGCTTCCAGTCACAGATATACTGGGCAGATTCTGAAGCAGACTCAGTGCCAACAGCTAGGCAACAATGACAAAGCAAAGAATCATGAAGGGTAGGGGGCCTTAGGCAATGCAACAGGGGTTTATCGTCTCACTGAGCCACCCTCCTCTCCCGCACCTGGCCTCACTTATTGGTTTCTCTGAATTGACTGATTGTTGAGACATGGTCACTAAAGAACACTACAAATACATGAAGTACAAAAAACAACCTGAAACACTCAATATAAATCCTTCAAGTCCAAAGCACAGAAGAATGAATGGCACCAGAAACATACCACTGTCTTCTGTCTTGCTCTTTCTTGCTTTCATTGATCTTAATGGTTTGTGATAAGAAGTGTGTTTGATGTTGTTTGGTGCCGTCGAATTGGTTCCAACTCATAATGACCCAATGCATAACAGAACAAAATACTAACCAGTCCTGTACAATTCTATTATTGTTATGCTTTGTCTCATTGCTGCTGCCACTGTGCCAATCCATCTCCTTGGAGGTCTTCCTCTTTGCTGCTGACCGACCCTCCACTTTACCAAGCATAATATCCTTCTCCAGGGATTACTCCCCCCGATATGTCTAATGGATGAGAGATTAACTCTCGCCATCCTTGCTCCTAAGGAGCATTCAGGCTGTACTTCTTCTAATATAGATTTGTTTGTCTGTCTGATAGTCCATGGTATTTTAATATTCTTTTCCAACACCAGAATTCAAACCTATCAATTCTTCTATGGTCTTCCTTACTCATTATCCAACTTTCACATGCATATGAAATAACTGAAAATACTATACTATACATTGAGTCAGATGCACTTCAGTCTTCAATTGCTATCTTTGCTCCTGAATGCTTTAAAGCGATCCTGTGCTGCAGATTTGCCTAATTCAATACATCATTTCATTTTTTGACCACTGCTTCCATGAGTGTTGATTGTGGATCCAAGTAAAATGAAGTCTTTGACAACTTCAATCTTTTCTCCATTTATAACAATGTTACTTATCAGTGCAGTTGTGGAGATTTTTGTTTTCTTTATATTGAGGTACAATCCATACTGAAGGCTATCGTCCTTGATCTTCATCAGTAAGTATTTTAAGTACTCTCCACTTTCAGCAAGCAGGGCTGTATCATCTGCATATTGCAGGTTGTTAATAAGTCTTCCTCCAATCCTGATGCTATGTTCTTCCTTCATATGCTCCAGCTTCTCAAATTATCAGTTTAGAATACAGATTGAAGAAGTTGGGTGAATGGATATAATCCTGACACACCCTTTCCTGATTCTACACCATTCGCTATCCTCTTGTTCTGTTCCAACAACTGCCTTTTGATTTGTGTACATGAAGTGTTCTGGAATACCCATTCTCAGCAATGTTATCCATAGCTTGTCATGATCTACACAGGCAAAAGCCTTTGCATAATAAAAAAAAAAAAAAAAAAAAGCACAAGTAAACTTCTTTCTGGTATTCTCTTTCAGCCAAGGTCCATGTCCTTTTCTGAATCGACTAGAGTTTGGCAGTTTTCTGTTGGTGTATTATTCCAAGCCTTTCTGAATCATTTTCAGAAAATTTTTAATTGCCTGTAATAATGATACTGTTTGCTGATTTCCAGGTACCATTAGGTCATCTCTCTTTGGAATGGGCACACCAAGTCGGTTGTCCAGGTATCTGCCTTCCAAATTTTGGCTTAGATCAGTGAGTGCCTCCAGTGCTGCATCAGTGTTGAAAGATTTCAATTTGTATTCCATCAATTTCAAGAGCCTTGCTTTTTGCCAACGCCTTCAGAGCAGCTTGGACTTCTTCCTTCAGTATCACTGGTTCTTGATCATATGCTACTTTTTGGTACAGTAACTGTGTAGTCCTACCGTCTTCTTTTGATTCTTTCTGGATCTTTCTATATTTTGCCAACAGAAATCTTCAATACTGCAAGTCAAAGTAATGTTCCAATTATTAGCTGCTGTATCTCCTCATTCTGCTCTCCCATCAGCAAATTGCTGTTGTAGCGTAGATTCTGACCCATATAGCGATCCTATGTAGGGTTTCCAAGGAGCCACTGGTGAGCCTGAACCACTGACTTTTCACAGTTCAAACGACTTTGCAGTCTGACGCATTAGCTCACAGTGCTACACCAGGACTCCTATCAGCAAATAAAGGCCCTAAAATCTTTACTCCATTTGTGTCATCAGGGTCAATGCTTATTTGAGGAGGTAGCTCTTCCCCAATCATATTTTGAATGCCTTCCAACCTGAAGGGTTCATTTCCTGGCACTGTTTCTGACAGTGTTCATTAGGTTTTCATCTTCCAGCACTGTACCTGAGAATGTTCTACTGCTATTCATAAGGCTTTCAGTGGCTAAATATTCAGAAGTAGTCTGCCACCCCTTCTTTCTAGTCTGTCTTATCTGAAGGTCCACTGAAACCTGTCTACCATGGGTGATCCTACTGGTATTTAAACTAACTGGTGGCATAGCTTCCAGCATCACAGCAACAAGCAGGTCACCACAGTATGACTAACTGATGGATGAGTGGCGGAAAAAATACAGAGTTCATACTGCTGTCATCATCATACAGTAACAATAGCAACCAGCGCTTGTCAGTCTACTCCAACACCCGGCGGCCTTGTGTGTCAGAGTAGAACTGAGCTGCGCAGGCTTTTCAGTGCCTGGAGTTTTGGAAACAGATCAACAAGCCTTTCTTCTGAGAAGCCTCTTGGTAGGCTTGAGTCTACAAACTTTTCAGTTCGCATTTGTGTGCATGTGCAATGTGTGCACATTCTAGGGACTACGAAAGCAATGATAATGAGCCTTTACTGAGAGTCCAGTGCCTGGCGCTGTGAGCTGCTGCACGTGCATTATGGCATTAATCCTCCTATTACCTTGCAGGGCAGATACTGTTAGCAGTTGCATGTGACAGATGAGGAACAAGCAGTAAAATACTGGGCAGCGTGCTCACCAAATGCAGTCAGTCACACTGGCGGCCCCGCGGTGAGTGCAAATCTGACTGGCCCAGAGGCAGAGTGCATGACCCAGCATACGACTCCTCCCTCACCGGTAGCATGAAACCCCAAATGGATTTCTGTTTGATGGCGCCTTATGTGAACTTCACCCCTGTGCTTATTTGCTTTGTGGTTGACTCTTCACATAGCACAGTACTGTAGCTTTGGCTCCCCTCCAGGAAGGGGCATCCTTCACACAGATATCCTCCTGCTCCCTACTGCTGCCCTGGGCCTTCAGTGTTGCAAACTACAGAAACGAGTTGGATTCACAGCTCTCTTCAAACATCTGCACTGGTCACTCAACTAATACTTAAGAGTTCGCAGTACCAACAGAAAATAAACATGCTTCTTCAAACAGCAATAAAATGATGCTAAAGAAGATCTTCCATGCTAAGAAGATCTTCCATGTAGAGGTACACATAGCAACCCACAGAGATCTGAAAGGGCTCCCATGTACTGACACTGATACTTCTTCACAGTTCACCGCGAGGAAGCTCAAGGACAGACCTATCACCACCCTTCAACAGCTATGATCATTTGCCAAAGATGATCTATTAAAACAATTATGTTCCCTATGTGACTGTCACTTTGAATAAAAAGGCTGTGGCATCCTTAGCCTGCAACTAATAATGTGGCCAGGAGATGGCAGAACAATACTACACATGGGAATGTGCCTTCTCTAAATTAACAGGATAGAAAAGGAAGAGTCTGGCATGAAACAAAAACTGTATTTATATAGAATTCCCTGTGCAATCTAAACATTGAACCCTGGTACTAATTAGCCGGTATGCTAATTGCCTTGGTTTTAATCTGTTTTAGGCCAACTTTAAAAGAAAGCCCTCTTCCTCACCTTGGTATTTCAGAACAAGACTATTTGGAAGCATGAGGTACGCTCACAAAATAGATTCCCAGTAAGCTGCCACACACAGAGGGCTTCTGGGTGACCAGACAGGTACTTAGTGGTTAAATCTATTAACCAAGAAAAGTGCCTATTTTTCATAAAGGAAACTGTCTAGGTGTATCAATAAAACCCCCTTTTTTAAATGAGGCCAAAAGGAATAAACATTAGAAAGGAAGGATCATACCTTTTGTTTTGTTTTGTGTATGGTAAAAGCAACCCTCTAGTTGTCCTCCTTCAAATAATTAAGAGCGAATACAGCAAAGTAAAGGTCTCCACTTACCTGTAGTTCCTTCATATAACGGCTCCCTAGAACATTCATTAAGGTCCTTCTCCTCTAAAAACGACCTTGATGCTATTCCTGAATCAGAATCCAGCAAGATCTGATTTTCACCAAGGCCAATGTCTGCAAAATGGCTACTCAATTCACAGTCTTCAAAGTCAGCAGTGAACTGGAGAGGGGTGTCAGGAGACGGCACGGAAAATGCGCCTTCGAGAACCAGGGGCGAGCCAGGAGGAGATAAGGAGGAAAGGGACGATCTGGAGGAGAGGGATGTCACAGACTTGGGGACCTCAGTCAGTGGGGGTGTATGGCCGGTGGCTGGGGCTGCCGCACCACAGGGGTCACTCTGGCCAGGCTGGCTGGGAGACTTGACCACTTCGTTTTCGTGGATGGTGGTGATGGGTCCGGAAGGAATGTAGCCACCTTTCTCTTGCAGAAGGAAGTCCAGTTTATACTGATAATCCATGTCTATGTGATCACCCTGGCTGTAATAGAGCTCACTGGAGCTGAGGGAGTTAAGTGACCCTCTGCTAGAGGTGTTCAGAGATCCCCGACTGGATGCCAGGGAGCCCAGGCTGCTCCCAGAAGACACGGACAGAGTGCTGGCAGAGAGGCTGAGAAAACAAGATATAGACGCTGTCAAACTGTAACCGTGTAGAAAACCCAATCCAGTCACAATCCCTCCTGGTGTCTTCATGGCTCCAGAGGGAATCCAGTGATACCAAAGAATATATGCAATGGCCAGGGAAAACTTGCTACTATACCACTGTTAGTAGAAATTACCTTTTTTCCTTTTGCAAAGTTTATATATATATATATATATTTACCTGTTGGTAAATATACTTCCATAGTTTCCCACAAGCAATTTTGCACCATTAAAAGGAAAGACAATCATTAAATTCTAAGTGTTAATGCAATTACTTGAAAGTATACTTTTTTTTAAAAAGGGGGTAAAAAAGGCAAGCTATCAAAGACAGAGGTTATACAAAAGGCCCTTCTGCCCATTCAACTCTTTCCTCTTTAGTGCAGTAGCTCTATACAATAAGCACTGAACTGTGAACTACAAGGTCAACAGTTTGAACCCCCCAGAGGATCTGAGGGAGAAAAATGAGGCTTTATGCTCCCGTAAAGATTTAAAGCCTTAGAAACTTTATACAGGGTTGCTACCAGGCAGAACTCACTCGATAGCACTTATCAACAAGAACATGGAAGGAGTGGGCATTTTCCTAAGTCATGTAAGAAAATCTTATACATAATTATTTAAAGTTAAATCTCTGTCACTATCTCTTTTTAGAAGGATTGATACGCAATGTTGTCGTCAAGAGCTGTCAAGTCGGTTCCGACCCATAACAACCCTGTATAGGGCTTCCAAGGAGCAGCTGGTGAGCTTGAACCATCGACCTTGAAGTTCAATTGGGTTTGCAGTCTGGTGCATTAACCCACAGCACCACACCAGGACTCTGATATATGTCATTAACTGGTAACTAGAATATACCTTACTCCATCCACCTGCGATATATTTTCAAACATATTCTACATATGACCATGGGTTGGTTCATGAAAAAAAAAAAAAAAAAAATCTATGTAGTTTTAGGTCTGGTCACCCATATTTTCGTTGTGCTAGTGACTACGGCAGTCACTTGCAAATAATTTTTAAAAACAGAAAAGTAATCAAAGATAAACTAAAACATGCTTGAATACAGTCCAAAAAAACTTTATCCCTCAAGAAACTAAGAGGCTTACCTTTTCAGTTGTGAATGAAAATAAGTAGTTAACTTAGTAGTTTCTTCAAGTTTCTGTAGCAGCTCTTTTCTTCTTTCTTCCAATTTTAATCTACAAAAAAAAAATATGAACTTATTTTCAAATGATTATGATACAGAATGAAAACTGAAGAAAATTATTAAGACAAGAAAGAGTCTTATACAAACACAGGAGATGGGGAACTCTGAAGGAACTCTGACAGAGAGCGAATGGAACAAGAAGTGATGTGGGATGAAACACACACAGCCTAATGAAGGAAGAGCTCTATACAGCAAATCTGCAGTGGTTCTGGGAACTCTTAAGTTTTCTTAGTTGGGTTGAAAAAAAAAGCCTCATACTCTTGAGTTAGGAAAGGTTAATAATGATGAGGAAAATGAGAAAAGACTAACAAAGGCAAGAGAATCCTACATATCTGTGACATGGTTTCACATTACTAAAACATTTGATAGCAATAAAAATTATAAAAGGTCATCCGAAGTACTGAGTTTAATATGGATTGTCTCATAATAATATTTAGTGATGAAAATTCCGTTCCTAATTTGATCAGAATTTTAGCAATTAAGAAACAAATTAGTCCATATTGTCATTGTGAGCTAATTTGGGCTTAAATGTTTAAGAGGAAAAAAAAAAAACCAGACATAAAATTAATTTCCATTCATATCTACAGCACATCTCATCACTTGCATCTGATTATCATTAAATTTCAACCTAACTCAACAATACAAGTATTTTGTGAGTTTTAAATTAGGGCATCAGGGGACTTGTGCATTTGAATAAGAAGTTGTCTTTAAATACCCATAGGTTTCTACAACTAAGAGTTGCAGGATGACAGCCCAGGTCATCCGCAGGCCTTTCCGTGTCAATGAATTGGGCAAGAGCTCAAGGGAATCCCACCACCTGCAGACTGAGATTCAGAAAAACACTCATTTCTAGGCTTACACTTACTGCTTTCTAGACCTGTATCCTTAAGTGAATCTTTTACAAAAGGCCTCAACTCTCTCATCTGTAAAGTGGTGATTATAATCTTAATATGGTATGGCACTGTGGGTTAATATGCTGGACTGCAAGGTTGTTTTGAATCACAAGGTCAGCGGTTCAAGCTCACCAGCTGCTCCTAGGAAACCCTACACAGGGTCTCTATGAGTTGGAAACGACTTGACGGCACTTCACAACCACATCGTCTCCCTGAAGGAGCCTTGGTGACTCAGTGGTTAAGCACCCAGCAAGTAACCAAAAGGTCAGTCAGTGGCTGGAAGCTGCTCAATGGGACGAAGCTGTGGCAATCTGTTCCTTATAAAGATGGCAGTCTTGGAAACCCCACGGAGCAGTTCTACTCTATCCTGTAGATTGTTTTGAGTCAGAATCGACTTGATAGCAACCGGTTTGGTGTCTACCTGGGTGGTGCAAACGTTTACATGCTCAGCTACTAACTGAGTGAATGGCAACCTGAACCCACCCAGAGACCCCACAGAAGAAAGGCTTTAGCAAGTCTGCTTCAGGAAAATCACAGCCTTGGAAATCCTGTGGCGTACAGCACCACTCTATAACTTGGATTTGAAATCAACTCAAGGGCACCAAGGATTTTTTGTTTTGTTTTTGGTGTTTACTTGATATAGTTAGTAACGGGATCAAATGGAGTGAAACTGCTCTGGTGACAGTAAAAACAATTGTTCCAAGACTCAGCACACACGGTAAAGTGGTGATATAAAACTTAGTCACATTGCTTAAAAGGAAAAAAAAAAACCTCCCCAATTTGCTACTTCTTTGAACTGTTATATACATCTTAGGCAGTAAAGAAAATAAAATGCACATATTTATAGTTATCTATCCTTTAAGTGTCCACAAACAATTTTACTACATTTGAAAGGAAATTAATTTTAGCCATTTTTTTTTTTAATACAAGCAATTCTTGAATTAAGAATAGTTTCCATTCCAAGTCTGTCCTAAGTGGAATTTGTCCATTATGTCGAGCAGTCCAGAACAGTTTATATCTATTGTCAGTTAAATGTTTGCATTGTATATAGTGTGGAGTCCTATTGTGGTTGTGGTACTGTAGGATAAGCTCTTGACTGCTAACCACAAGGTCAGTGGTTCAAGCCCACCAGCCATTCCCTGTAAACTCTATACAGGGTAGCTATGAGTCACAAAAGGACTCAGCAGCACTTAATTACAAAAATAACAGTATATAGTGTATCTTTCTATCTACAAAAAACATTAAAGAAACACTTCCAGATCAAAGCATCTTTAACACAATACTATAATGATAATAATAATGTTTTCATAAACATGGTAAAGTCTAAGGGGCTTTTTTTGTTTTGTTTTTCAAGTTCGTGGAAAAATGGAATTGAAAAATAATGGAATTTTTCCACAAACATTTTGAAGACCCCTCATCGCACCTATTTGTTATTATGAACCAATGTATGCACTTTGAATTTTTATTGTAAAAGAACTTACAGGAGGTGGTTCATAACAACAGGTTGCATAGAAGTCAGACATTCGTAACCCAGGTACTGTCTGCACTTCAAACAGCAACAAATTGGTAATTCATAGCTTTCAAAGGTGTATTTTTAAAAGGAGTGCAGTCCTTATTTTTAAATCCCTCACATACAAACTAAAAATTAACATTGAAAAGGAGTCATACAAAGTCAATTAACTGAATTAGAAAGTACATAAAGATCTGGAGAAAACCCAAGTCTACTAAAATCCTTGTTTTCTGAAATAGGAGAAATGTTTAAAAATTTTTAGAACCAAATATCGTACACATTTTCCCCAATATTCCAGGGAGGATTCAATTTGGCACTAGAATTTAATCCTGCAGCTTTAGCTTTGCATTAAAATTTCAAATACAATAATGTTCTATTCCCCATCAGAGAGGGCTCCCTCCTCCAGGCATTTGTTCACCGGCTGCTCTCCCATGCCTCTTTTATGGTTACTTTGAACTACTGATGATGCTTTTTGGGTCCTTGTTCACTGTTCCCCAGGTAGATCCTAAGCCTAGAAAGCAGACATCGGCTCTTTCTCCCTCTTTTACCTAAGGCTGACTCAAGGGCAGGGTGTCCCTACCCAAAACCTCCCTGCGTTACCTGGCATCTTAGATAACACGTCCACAGGGAGAAGGATAATGAGGGCCCAGGGAGAGTCACAGACACCCTTCTCATGCAGCACCAGCCACTCAATGTTGTAAGTTTAATGCCTGACTCCTGTCTCAGGTATAATCACCAAAACCTCCCAGAGTAGGCGCTGGCATCTTACTCGGATTTCAGGTGTCTTCAGAGGAAACAGAGGCCCCATCTTCCTCTGGATCACGCACTGTTAGAATAATTCACTCAGACGTCAGCCCCTTCAAGAAAGTTCATCCCTGTCTTCTGTCCCCTTCTACCATGTGCTTTTAGTCTTCCTGGTGATGAAGGGACTTTTCCATCTTGCCTCTAAGAGATACCACTTCACCCTACAGCCTCCTCTCTCCCATACAAACCTTTCAACTACTTTTGCTTTACATTACAATTTCAAATACCTTTTGACCTTTATGCTCGTTCCCCTACTTTGACCCTTGGTGCTCTTGAGGGAGGCCATAAATCTGACCTGATTCAGACCACCTGTTTCCACCTAGGGACAATTCCATGTAGTCTATACAAGTAAGGCTACCACTTGTCTATTATTTTATCATCCTGTGGTGGCCTGTTTATTGCTCTCATGGTGGTTTTCCACTAAAAATATAAATGGCACTCATAATCCCACCCAGTTATTTAAAAACTTTTTTTCTGTAAACATTTTTTTTTAAAAGAATCCAAATAATAATTGTTGTTAGTTACTGTGAAGTCAATTCAAACTGGTCGAGACCCCTTCCATGTGTGTGGAGTAAAACTACTTCATAGGATTTGCAAGGCTGTGACCTTTCAGAAGCAGACCACCAGCCCTGTCTTCCCACACACCTCTGGGTGGGTTCAAAGTGACAACCTTTTGGTTAGTAGATGAGGGTTTAACATTAGCATCACCCGGAACTCCACTCAAATCATTAAGAAACAAATTAAGACTTCTTGGAAATTACAAGGCAAAATTCCTAAAACTTGTAAGGAAATTAGGAATTATATTAACGTTGCATCAACTACAGTTTAAGCAATTTCAATAACTGCATGGGTGTAATCTGAAAGATGTATGAAATGTCCTATACTATGTGACTTTTTCATTTGAGAGCAGGTTCTCTTTTGATAGATTAATCCTTGAAAATGAGCAGCTATCTTTGCCTGATGCATTGTACTGCCACTAGGTGGCGAGCTCAGTCATTGTTGAGGGCCCAGTTAATGACATTACAGTACAGAACAGTACTGGCAGGGCACAACACATGATGACTGAAAATTCATGGGAGTTTAGTTCCTTCAGAGACCCAAATTCAGTAGTGATTTAGAATCTTGACAACCTTCAAATAATGAGAAATCCACAATATAAATGGAAAACAGAGAAACATTTTTGGGAGTTCAGCAAGTGTAGGTACCAAGTTGTATAGGTGCCAAGAAGAAATTGAAGGATTTAGTGTTGGTGGAATACAATTTGTTCTATGATGAAACTTTTTACACTAAGAATCTTATTTCTAGAATTATTCTGTGGCCAGAACTTCCTTATCACGGAGGAATACACTGCTGGCTGAGGTACTCTCCTGCCTTCTAAGATACCCTGTTTCAGATTAATGTGCTGGACTACAAAGTCAGTTTGAGCCACAAAGTTAATGGTACAAGCTCACCAACTCTTCTTGGAAACCCGTATACAGGGTCACTATGGGTGGGAACAGACTCAATGGCACTTAACAACAACATGAAAAAATAATAAAGAGTAAAGAATAAGAAAAGGGGACCAAAGTATGGGGGAATAAAGTAAAACCATTAGCAAAAAAAGCAGTTAACAACAAAATCCAAAGTCATACTATGTTCTGTCGACTTGGAAAATAAACTCGCTTTGGTAATTGGTCGTTTGGACATGAGACTACTGAGTCATTCTGAACCTCCAAGGACAGCAGTGAGAAAACTTTGTTGAATAGTAAGAAAGCATAAATCCCTCAACTTTTCACTGCAACATAGTTATAGGGATTTGACATTGGCAAGGGACACTGGAAAGGAAATTTGTATTCATATTTTTGGAGAGCTAGACAATTTGACTCTTCTAAGTGAATCAGAAAGTTAACATAAAACAAATATAAAACATGTACATTTTCTTTCTGCTAACATCTAATACTGGCAGGGCCATAAGTTAGAGAACTATGCACACTGATTACTCTCCATGACATTAAATATCTAATTATGTATTTATACCTCCCCTTCCTGATGAGTTCAAACCTATTTTTCCACTAGAATTTTGATAGTTACTATGATTGTGCAAACAAAACCCTAAGCAGTTAGGGGCAAACTACACGTGTATGTTACTTGATTAGCCTTTTTTGGTTTTTAAGCTCTAGTCTTATGACAGGAGTCTTTGTGCTGCACTGCAGGTTAACGCGCTAAGAGCTGGATTGAAGGTCGGTTTGAACTGCAAGGTCAGTGGTTCAAGCTCACTGGCCACTAAGAAACCCTATACAGGATCTCTATAGGTCGGAAACAACTCAATGGCACTTAACAACAACAACAACAAAAGTCCTAAAGACAAGCAATACACCATGTGAAAAACGGATTAAAACAAACAAATAAACACATTTTTTTCTCTCATTCATAGAACAAATCTAAAGGCCCTTTACAGGTCCTTCTCAGATCCACATGTTACAAAGTCCAGCAGCTGAGATGAACATTAAATAGGTGTGATAATATAGCATTTATAATGTGCTAGTGGTTACGAATCAGGCTGTGAACCGCAAGGTCAGCTGTTCAAAACCACCAGCTGTTCTGCGAGAGAAAGATGATGTTTTCACTCCTGTAAAGATTTACAGCCTCAGAATCCCTGTACAGGGTCGCTATGAGTCAGAACCGACTCCACGGCACATAACAACAACAACATAATATACAAAGACTCCTGGTGTGGAGCTGTAGGATAAGCAGTGAACTGCTAACTGCAAGGCTGGCATTTCAAACCCACCAGTTGCTTCTTGGTGATCCCATACAGGGTTGCTATGAGTCGGAACTTGACAACAACAATACATAAATAACATGGTTCACACGAAAGCTACCCACATCAACATATTTACAGATGAGTATCAAACTTGACTATCCTGGAAACTTTATAAATATGTCAGAACAGAAACTTTCATCAATGGCCATTGAGGACATTTGTATTTAATCCTGCCTTGCCTTCTCATTCTTACTTTGTGTTCCTGGCCAATTTTCTCACTCCTACCTTTAAGGATGACTGTTCACTCAGTGCCACTAGACAAACATGTCAGCATAAGAGTCAAGAAGAAAAGGGAGTTCAAGAGGGCAAAATAATGTAATCTGTCTTGACCTTTCCTTGGGCTATTTCTTCAAGCTTTTAAAGCTTGGCGGTTATATATGTATATGTGTGTATATATATATATATATATATATATATATATATATATATATATATATATACATACATACATACATACATTCTCTTGATTCATGTTTTAACTCACAAAAGCCAACTTCACCACCAAATGGCTAAACTCAGGGTGAATGATTCTACACATGCTCATTATCTCACTACGAACGTCAAAGTGTTTTTCATCTTCCCTGCCCCCACTTTTCAAATGTTGTGATAGTATACAGAAGCATGTCGTTGTTGTTAAGTGCCATGGAGTCGATTCCGACTCATAGCAACCCTGACGTAAACATTTATAGAGGACAGGAAACTAAAGGGTAAAAAGCCAAGAATTTGTTTTGTTTTGAAAGGCAATGATATTATGGCTGGGTGTTTTATATTTACCTCCAGGTCACTTAAAATTATGTTGATGTGAATTTCTCTTACTGTCATTCTGGGAAAGGTCTAAAGGACAGATATACTGTGGTTGTAAAGGTCTACGTGGTCTCTGGTGGAAACAGGTGCCTGCCCCGATCCATCAGAAAGGCCTGGAAAGAGTTCCTTGCGCAGGTGTCGTTGTGTGAAAGGGGCACACAGCTTCCCATGCTTAATATTCCAGCTGATCTGTTTGCAGAACTGGAATTTTTCAGATTCAACGATCAATTTACACCTTCCCACAAAAAGACCTGAAAATCGTCTAAAGCATTTCCTTCACATTTTCACCTGCGTCAGAAAAGGGTTTCACCTGACAAATACAATCCAAGTGAACATTTTCTGACCTGTAGGGCATCAAAGGGAGCAAGCTGTCTTTTCCCTGTGAAATGAAAAGCAATAAACTTTTGCATTCTTGTGAGTAATAAAACCCAGAATAAAAAGCTTCAGTTGCTCTAACAGTCTAGATAATCTTTCTTATCGGAGTGCAGTAGTTTATAGGTATTACTATCAGACTCAGTTGGTGATGTACTGCATTCCTGATTTTATGTCAATATTCCTTACTTATTTAACATCTGTCACAGGCCTTTTCACATTCGTGACAAACACAGAAGAGCGGATACTGCAGGGCATTCAGAGGGTGTATTTTACTGCTCTACGGAAAGTTCTCCTGTGCCGTTTCTCAGTCCACAAATAACAGCAGATGCATGTGAAACTTCCAAAGGGAAGAGACCAGAGAAGATGGCATCCAGGCATAGCTACGACCTGTCCCATCCCCAAGGAGAAAAACCAACCTTTCAGCCAGAGCTTGGCTGGGGACACTCCTCACTGACAGCAACTCTTCCTCTAGCCGCTGCCTTTCAGCTTCCAGACTCTCCAATTCATCTTGAGTACGTTTCTGGGGAGTAACAAACTGAAGCTCCTTCAAAAGTTCTTCCTTTTCATGAATCAGCATCAGCTTCTCCTTCTCAATATCCAGCGCCCCAGGCCAGGCCTCACTGTCTAATTTCGACAGTTCGATTTTTAAGTTGGCCATACTAAAAGAGATTAAAAGAGATGTGTGCATATTTAGAACTTCCAAGAAAGAGAAAACACAACTTGGGGCAAAATTAGGGGTTTAGCCACTGTTCTTGCTGTAACTTCCTCTGGGTCTCACTGATTTACACACTGAGTTTTCGTATGCTTCATGTTCCCCAACCTTTAACATATGCATGAGCACACCAAACCACGTGACCCACAAAAACCTGACGGTAACAGCACACATGGGCTCCAGCAGCAGAGCATTCTGGATCCCCTGGGTAGGCCAGTGGTACAACTTGAGGGCACCTTCAGGGCTTCCTTTAAAATACAGAGATCTTACGCCATGAATGTCTATCTATCTTGTTCTTTTTTTCTGCCAAAATTTTATAACATTGTTCATGGGCCATACAAAATTATTAAGTTAAAAATTTTACTGGTATAGTACCACCACTTTATACACTATGCCTGCCCCTCACTTATCAACTGCGCTGATATCCGACGTTTCACATACACGAGGGTACTAAAAAAATCTACTCTCTTGACTATGTTGTGCATTAGCGACATACCAAACAGTGCCAAACAGTAACAAATGCCGAGATACAAGGCAAGAGTAATCCTGGCTGTGATGGTGAAGGTTATGTGTCGACTCGGATGGGCCGTGATTCTCAATTTGGCAGTTACATGATGCAGTCATCCTCCATTTTCACATAATGCCAATTTTTGCGTAACAACCTGGTCTTTGGTACCACACCGTGTGGATCAGACAGGAGTGGGTGTATTACACTCAACCTGACTATCAGCTACATACAGACAGTGATGTGGCTATCCAGGGAGAGCGGGGAGCAATACACAGTGGTTAACTGAAGTGGCACCACTAGTATGACAACAAGTGCTGAGGGGCGGGGGCAGGAATGAGAGGATGAGGAAAGGCAGCAACCTAATTCTTCCTGATCCCAGATTTCATTATATCCAGGACATCACAGGAACGCTGATAGCACAGTGGTTAAGAGCTCAGCTGCTAACCAGAATGTCAGTGGTCTGGGCCCATCAGCTGCTCCATAGGAGAAAGACATAATTCTATAAAATTATAGACTTGGAAACCCTATAAGGCACTTCTCCTCTGTCCTATAAGATCACTAGAAGTCACGACAGAGTCACAATAGACTCGATGGCAATGTTTTTGGTTAGTTCTAAGACGTTTATGCAATGTTAATGTAACTCCCAATTCAATATGAATTTCTTGAGCACCTGAATCAAGTAACTTGCATCACTATGAAAACAATGATGGTTTTTTCCCACTAGGTAAAAGGCATGCAACTACTTTGACCATAAGCACAAGATGAAGGTAAACTGAATACAAATGATACTGACACAAGACTCCAAGGTGTAATAAAAAGAGTTGGATAATTACACTGGATATGTTACAGCACAAACCCGAAGAAGAAAAACACAAAGGTAAGGGGGATATATTCTTTCCCCTTTTTGATTGAAGAAATTATGAAAGGGAAGTAAAAATAAAAAGGTGATCATAAAATGCAATTAAGAATAAAGATAGTAACAGTTGCACATTCCTGTGCCTTAAGTTTTTTTTTTTATGCTTTATTTAAAAATAAAAGTGTCACCTTAAATTGGCAATGCATATATAATATACTTCTGATTTCACCAAGCATTTTCACTTATGATAGATTTAATATCAGCTATTCTTCAGCTCTAACCACAAAACCATAAACAACTGTCTCAACGTACTGGAAAATTAATCATCAAAATGCTAAATAAGCATGATATTATTAGCTTCATTAAGCACATAAAACAAAGGTTGGAAGGAGAAAACAGGTTTCAGAGAAATACAACCCACCTCTTTACTTACTAAGATTCAAGAAGTAGTTCATTTTCAACACATGCATAAACCCTTGAGATTTACTGTCTCTTCAGCATCACTAATAACTTTGAAATACAACTTCAAAATGCACTATGATAATAACACAACCAAATTGAAAAGAAACAATGTCTTAAATTGTTGTGACTGAATGAACAAATTGAACTGAGAGCAACAAAGTAATGAAGGAAACAATGGAATCTATTACTTGTGTGAGCTCACATATTAGGTAGGTCTTGAATTTTATTTTGGAAGGGTACCTCAACCTGGGGGATAGAATATGAAGAAATATTCCAAGAACACCTAGGTAGAGGAATGCAATGTGAGCTTCAGGTGGAATTATTAACTTTTAGTTATAGTTTAGTTTTAGCCACAGTAAAGCAAAAGCTTAAGCTGATCTGAGGAAAGTGGAACCAAGCCCTAAAGGGCCAGGGGCATGAAAACTGGCTCTCTGGCCATTCTCCTTCAAATTCTGGATTTGCTCACAGCAGAACCCAGGAGATCTGTCTGCTATAGGGCTGTAGTGCTTGTAACACCAGCGTCACAAACACTATCGACCCGGAAGATTTCGCATCACCGGGGAACAAAACAATAAATCTGCTCCCAATACTTACTAAGGGCCAGATAGCAGTCTGGGCACCTAGAAGACAATTTAAAAAAAGGACAACATTTCTCCCAACCTCAAGAAATTTATAATCTACCTGAGAAAACTGAGAGACATTAAAATTAGCCAAGTAAATTGCTGTTCAGAAACACTAAGTGACTTGCTCAAGTTCACATGGTTAATAATTAGTGGAAGAAACTTAGGTTTCTTTCGGTAAATCAAAGAACCAAGTAATATTATTAGTAACACACATTGCACAGAGGCAAAGATTGTATTTAGGCCAACCAAATGATTGCTTTGTTCAAGTCAGATGACCTTTAAAAACTTAGTATCTCCTGGTTAGAATAGGAGAAAAAATACAGAGCAGACCTCAGACAAATTGTAACAGCAGAGAACAGAAGACCAACTCTTTAAACCTAGCCCAGAGGCTGTCCTCTTAAATCACTTTTTAGCAAAATAGCAGAGTGGCACACAAAAGAAAGATGGTAAGATTGGTGCCTTGCTTAGAAACCATTAGTATGAAATCAAAAGGTCAAATAATTCTTTCAAAGTAAAGATGAGAAGATAAGGAGGCAGGGAAACTAGAGTACTGGAAAGGGAACAAAGACAATGTTGATATACTGTGGTAAATACAATGAATATCACCAGATAATCTGTGTGGCAACTGACAAAACAGGAACTTAACTTGTGTAAATTTTAACTAAAACTCAATAAAATATTATTAGGAGAAAATAAAAACCTTAGGACAACTATTTTAAAATTATCTTTCCCACTACCAGAATGGAAAGACTTAAAAATTTGAGTTTTGTGCTCTTTATAGTAGGAAACAGCGACACTCTGGTAGGTCCGAAGAGTGTCTAACGGTTAAGAGAAGGAACATGATAAATGCCTGTCTCCTGCAGAGTGATAATTTAATTTTCCAAATGTCTTCCTAAGTTATAAATCAATAGCATTTTTGAGCTCTTACAAATAAAAGAATGAAACCAAATGTCTCAGTATGCCCCTCTTCTTCAAAATTAGCAAGCAGCTCTATATTATGAAAACCGTTTACATCTCTCAGCAGATAAGGGCAGTGACCTCTTTCATGCCTCACCCTAGCAGAGTCACAAGAGAAGAAAATGATAGCATAGGGGTTAATTAGAGTTTGTAAAGTGAAAGAGAGAAGGAAAAATCTCTATTCCTTCTTCATAAAATAAGTAAACTGAAAGCGACACCTCAGCAACTACAAGGCCATTAGCAGTTATTCTTCACTTTAAAGCAAAGGAACACACTTAAAGATGTTTACCTTAGAACTCAACAGCTATTAAGTCAGTAACCAAGCCACTATATCATGTTTCTATCTGAGAAGGCAATCTTCTCACTTTGAATAGTAAGTATTGTATAAGCTCAAAGCCTCTGCCCCCCAGAAGACAAGGGGATCAATTCATTCCCATACAATCTCCACACCTCTTAATTCTCTCTGTACTTCAAGTTTAGGGAAAGGGAGAGAGCGAAAAGATAGAAGAAAGGGATCCACAACCCTTATTTCCTTTAAAACAACAAGAAAGACAGAAGGAAATTGTGGTAAAACTAAGCCAAGCTCACATGAGAGTGCCCAGCAGATGTCGCTATAGGAATAAAGATTAAGTCTGGCAAAGAAACCAGGGAGCCCACCACCACTGAACTAGGCAGCTCCCCGGTCATTACCTTCTCTTGGCTTCTTCATACTGTAGGCTTAGCCTGACCTTTTCAGCTAAATTTGATCTACTTCTCACTCCAATCTAGTAAAAAACAAAAGGAAAAAAAGTCAATTAACTCTACTAATGAATGAAGTAAACTGCTTTTGTTTCTAGGAAGTACAAATAATTGAAAAGCTAAAGAAGAAGGCAGAACTGAAATTGGGAACACCAGTTTAAAAAGGCACTAACTTTATAGTCTCAGTAGGAGCAATCATTCCTTTTTAATTCAAGTTTATCTGTTTTCTGAAAAACTAGGTTTTTAATACCATTTTTCCCACACATTAAATTCAACATAAAAAAATATCCAGTACATGTTTCTGGTACCTGAGAGTTTATGAAGGGTGTGCAGGTCAATAAAATTTATGAACTGGAACTAATTTCTCTTTTGCTATAAGCCAAAAATTCCATCATTTAGCTTTCAACTGCACAAAATATAAACTAAACAACTTCAAAGATTAATTTTTCAAACAGGTAAGCTCTACTGCTGATTTCTACCTGACTTTTACTTCCAAAGCACATACTTCAAAGAAGCACAAGAGAATACAAAAATAATTGAGAACCTATTTAAAAAGTAAGTACCTGCTAATAACTTCCCAAAGGGGAGAACATAAAATAGCAATAATAGCTCAGCCACCTTAAATATTTTTGAGTGTCAGGTATAAATCATAAATTAAACATTTTAATATACTCCAGATTAAGGAAAACTAGCTTTCTTGTTTATTTCCAGGACTCTAAGCATTAGAGTTCATGTTTTTCTAGAGTTTCAGTAGTGTTCCTGAATATATACAGATGAGAAACTTAGAACAAAGCTAATCATATGGAGAAATCCAGATATACTTGGCACCTAGACAGAAAAGATAAGGCTATGATTTTTTAAACCAATCTTATAAGTATGAAACACTGAATGCACACAGCAGAAATCTAAACCTGCTTCACTTTGCCTTCCATACTGTAATCGAAGCCCTGCAAGGGCAGCGCTGAGGCCAACCCTCCCACACATGTAACTTACATCTCCGGAAATGCTCGTTTGTGACCCAGCATCAAGGGTCTGTCTGGAGAGAGACAAATGAGAGTTCACAGGACTGGATCTTAAGTCTGGCTCAGATCTGCCAATGCTCTGATCCAAATGAAACCGCTCCTGCAGCTTAGCAAGACTCTGTTCAGGAAATACACAGTATTTCATAAAGCCAGGTAAAATAATGTTACAAGTGATTACGTCAATAGCTAAATAAATAAATAATTTGAATAGGCACTTATCACTTTAAATTATTGAAAATCAAAACTAGAAAACAAGGGTAGACTATAATTTGCTCATGCTCACTTGGACACCCTATTAAATGAGTTACCTCACCTTTCTAAAGAATACATTTTCCCATAAACAATGGTTTCTTTGTATTTAATACAGGAATTTCTTATTTTTTTAAATATAAAGAAATATATTTTTAATATTTTTAATAAAATATAAAAATATAAACAAATCTCTATGTTAATAAGAACCACTGCTTATGCAATAAACATTACAGAAACACAAAACACCTACCTATGCACATAATTTCCTATTAGATATAGCAAGGAAACATCCTTGCTTGTTAAAAAGAGTTCTAAAAATTATACCATTTTATAGCTGGACAGCACCCAAGAGATTACGTAGTCCACATTAATGCTAGAGATGAGAAAACTGAGGCCCAGAAGTCAAGGTGGAAATGGGCATAGGCCCCACAATGAGTTTCCTGTATCTTTACTGCCTGACACTGTTCGTTGTGGCATGCTTGCCCTGGTAAAGGAAAGGGTCAAAAGATAGTGTGCCTACTGTGTGCACCAGGGTTTAATAGATTGAGCTTTGTAGAGGAAGGATGTGAAGAGGTGAAGTATTAACAAAGAAAATTTTTTCTAAATTGCTAAAAAAAACAACCCACACAATGATACTAACTAAAAATAATAAGAAACCATTCATTGTCAACTTTAAGAAGAACCAGGATTAAATCCTGATATTTGAAATTTTCGTGATGTGGAATTAAAAAATATAAGAACTGATGCTTGCTTTTGACATCTATATCTTCTTCCAAAGGAATATTTATACAAAATGTATAAGCAAAAGGGATAAAGACAATTTCTAACAGCCCTAGGAATGGCCACACCTAATGACATGTTATCAAAAAGAACAAAGAAAACTTTTCGTCACCTTGGGCAAGTCTTTTCTATTTTCTCATTTGTAAAGTGAGACGGTTGGACTACATTAGTGCTTTTCAAACCTTTATGAGGTTCAGAACTGTCTAAGTTGGGGCATTCCCACCTGGAATGACATGCAGACCAACCCAGATCTGCTGGAAGAATAGAAGATTCTTACTGAAAGAAAGACTTGAAGGAAAAAAGCGGACTGTTAGGCTGTTTGAATATCAAGCAAGTTGTTTGCTTTGGAGGCATCAAGGAAAGAAAAGTCAGCCACTTCTAGGGCTGAAATTCAAAGAGAACCCATGAGCAGTCTAGTATACTCGATGGTGACCATCTGGGTCTACTTGTGAGTGTAAGTAGGGGAAATGCAGCAATGAAGATATGGATTGAGTTTGGCCATGTTCTATTGGCACGTGTTGACCTTCAGATGAGAGAGAGAAGAGGAAGGGGGTTGGCTGGTCTGAAGTTCAGGAAGATATGTGAGCTCCTGAGCCCATGGGTACTGACCTAGCCCCTGGAGGCTGTGGCGGCCAGCTGGTCTGATGTGCAGGGAGGTATGTGTGAACTCCCAAACTTGCTAGTACCCATTTGACCTAGCTCCGGTGGCTAGCTAACAGAACTAGAACTGAGGAAGATAAACATGTTTGCTATTGAGAATAAATTCAAATTGCTAAAATTTGACAAACCAGACTTTTGCCTATCAGTGCAGTGACTCAAAATTCCAACCGGAATGGAAGAAGGATTCTTCATATCAAGGAACAAACTTGCTTCCTCAGAGTACTAGGTTGATAGGGACAAGAAACTTAGATACCGGCCATCAACAAGGGGAGATGGGGAGTGGGAGACAACTACAAAGGCACAGAGTGGCTGGTCTACAAGCTTTCATGAGTGTGCTGAGTTTCAGAATGAGGGGGTAAGGTAGACTCCCCACTGAACAGTTTCTGTCTTTCCCAGATGGAGCTGGTGAAAGGGAATGTGGGTGACAGTGATGGGAGTTTATGACTCAGTTGTAACTGTTAGCAGGATTAATTGTAATTGTCACAACCGTAATTATAAAAGATGTGTAACTAAAAGGGAGGAGTAGTAAATCTTTCATTTCTGGAACTGACTATCCCAAGACCATCAAGAAGGGAGAGCATGAATGAAGCGTGAGATCTCTACCTAGAAAAGCACTGAGAGCAAAGCTGTTGGCTGTGTGCCTGCATACAGGAGGTTGGCTGACAGAATGTGTCCCTTGAACATTTAAACGAGTATGTTTTGTAAGTGCACATCAAATTTTTTTTGCCTTGTTCATTATGAAATATAAGATGTAAATGGGGAGCCACAGGGAGGTAGTGGGATAAATGTTTTTGCTGGGAGGGGACTATAATCATGAAGAGGAAACAAGCTGCATGGTTTACTGAATGCAGAACTGATGATCTTGTCTGGAAACCTTCACCCACTTCTTCACAGTAAAAAGTTAAGAAAAATTTTAAAAACAGCAAAAGTGCCACAAATATTATAGAATTATGAAAATGCAGACATATATATTATGGAAGGACAATATCATGGAGAATAATAATTACTCAAGATTTTTTTTTTAAGTATAAAATTAAAAAACAACACCTTTATTTGGTGGCAATGCACTAAAGCAATATAGTGTATTGTGACTGGTATGCTTTTGAATGAACTAGAAGAGCCTAGAAAATAAGATCACATCACTTAATTGTTAAGAGAAGGGTATTTTTGTAAAACTTATTTTAATTATATGTATGTGTTCTATAGGCAGACACGTTTGTGTGTTACTAGGTTTTGATGTAAATGTATTTCTTATTGTGGGTTGTGGAGTCCTGGTATGGTGCTGTAGGATAAGCACTAGACTGCTAAATGCAAACTCTGTGGTTCAAACCCACCAGCTGCTCCTTGGGAACCCTATAGAGGGTCACTAAAGCATCACAATTGACTCGAAGGCACATAACAATACAGCACTGTAGGTTGTGGTCAAAGAGGTTTGACAGTCAGAGAAAATAGATTGTCTCTTTCAGCTTTATTATCTATGTCTGTAGCTACTAACTATTCTATAGACTTTAATAATTGACAAAGACTCTACTCTTACAATTTATTCTAGCCTAAACATGTATCTGAAGTTTACATGGAAGAATCAAAGGTGAAGTAAATCTGCTGAATTCTATGTAAATTTGTTCAAGTTTCACTAAGGGTTTTTTTAAAAGGTCCTTTTATGAACATTTCAGGAATTATTGCTATAATCTGCAAGACTGTTATAGAACAAAACCAAAATACATACAAGTAAAATCACATATTCTGGATTGAGGCTGCCTGGATTTGAACTCCAGTCCTGACAACTTTTTTATTTTAAGCAAGTTATTTAACAACTTTGTGCTGTAATTTCCCTGTCTGTACACTGAAGACAATCACAGCTCTCCCTTTAGGGTTGCTGTGAGGACTAGATTATTTATGGCACAAAGTAAGTACTTACAGTATTTGCTGTTATTATTGCGGTCGGTTCTATTCGATCTCTTCTTATAAGGTTCAAGAATATTTATCTACATTCCATTAGCATTTGAAACTGACAGGAAGTAAGTGACTATGGTACTTAAATGCAGAGGTTCTATTAAGAACATTTCCCCAAGATGTAAACGGAATCTTTACTTAGCCAGGTTGTTATTGTTACTGCCATTGAGTCAGTTCTGACTCACAGCAACCCTGTGTAGGGTTTCCTAGGAGCAGCTGGTGGGTTTGAATTGCCAACCTTGTGGTTCACAGTCTAGTGCTGACTCTACAAAATCAACTTTATGTGAAATTCAAAAATTTTAAATTGAGGTTTGCAATAAACATGGGGTGAAGGGAAAAAAGATGAGATATACCCTTTAAAAAACAAAACAACTTAACAAAAGGGATAAAAGGTATACTTACTTAAAATGCAGAGAATACTGATTTCTGAATGACTGTTTAGTTTGTTTACTACACATAATATTGGGTCATGTGAAGCTAAGAATCTGGAGTTGAGAACTGTACAGGTACAGGCAAGCAAGGGGCCTACTGCCATTTCCTAAAGTAATTACGTAGGTGATCCTCAGGTACGAGAACCTTCCCACCCGGCCCCTAGCTAGCAACCAGAATCACCTGGGATAGAGAAGCATTTCTAAGCACCTCATCTAACCTGACTACTCTCCTCTAGGCATAGCTTCTGCCCCACTTATGGTGGTTAACATGTCATTCCTGCACTCTGGGTGGAGAGTCACTACTGCTTTAGGTAACTCTGCTCATCTATATTCCACATGAAGTTTGCAGGATGCACCAGTATGCTTATCTCCTTACACCACCCACTGTCTTGAAGGATATCCAAGTCATGCAGAATCAGTCTTGGAACCAATCTATTCTCTTCCCAGGTAGAGAGGCTGGTTTATTCCTTTGGCATCCTCATGGTAGAGTCAAATTCAGTACCAACGGGGGGAGTGTGAGAAAGGGCCATCCAAACTCTGAAGGAGGACTTCTGCCTCAACGAAAACTTCTGTGGACCCAGGAGGTAGTTGGCTTGTCTAAACAAAATGTTCTGTAACATACCTGCATCAGATCTTGTTTTTCTTTTTCTCCTGAGCTGATAGCCTTTCTGATAGATTTCAGTTCAGTCAGGATGGCTTTGGCTTCACTAAGTTCATACCCGCTGTGGCCTCCAGACATTTTTTTATCAATTCTGTTAAAAAAAAAAAAAAAAAAAAATGACAGAGTACAAGTTAAAATGGAGGTAGTAATTGGGTTTTGGATTGGCCAACTAAGGCCAATTATTGTGCCACTGCAGGATAAAGCACTGGATCAAAAGATTGGTTTGAACACAAGGTCAGTGGTTCAACCTCACCAGCCACTCCTTGGAAACCCTATGCAGGGTCGCTTTGAGTAGGAACTGACTCAACGGTACTTAAGAACAACAACAACACTCACATACCTATGTCACCCTTTCAAGCTCATGAATTTTCTTCTAATCACTTCTAGCCAAGATACCCCCAATCCCCACATCATACCATTGTTATTGTTGTTAGGTGCCATCAAGTTGGTTCAGACTCAGAGATCTTGGAAGCACAACAGAACGAAACATTGCCGGTCCTGCACAAACCTCACAATTGTTGCTATGTTGAACCTACTGCTGTTGTCACTGTTTCAATCCCTCTCGTTAGGGGTCTCCCTCTTTTTTCTCACTGACCCTCCCTCTACCTTACCAAGCATCAGGTCCTTCTTCGGGGGGGCTGGTCCCTATTGAAAACATGTCCAAAGTATGAGAGATGAAGTCTGGCCACTTGGGCTTCTAAGGAGTGTTCTGGTTGTACCTCTTCCAACACAGGTACCCATTTCTAACTATTCTTACTTTCAAACTGAAATAAACACATCTTCATAACATGTTGATCCTGATCTTCATTCAGAGTAAGGTAAAGGATTTGTTGTTGTTAAGTGCCACTGAGTCAGTTTATGGTAAAGGACAGCAGGACAGAAATGCCAATGAACTGTCCAGCTGCAAGAATCACAGGATTCATCATTGCGGCCTCATTTTACATGTCCTAATGTTTTGCAGGGGTCCTGGTGTGGCGCTGTGGGTTAATTTGGCAGCCTGCAAAGCTGTTTGAACTTCAAGGTTGGCGGTTCAAGCTCACCAGCTGCTCCTCAGAAACCCTATACAGGGTCACTATGGGTTAGGACTCACTCGACTGCACTTAATAACAAAACAACACAATGTTTTGCAGAGCGTAGTCCAATGCCTGCAGCTTGGTAGACCATTAGCACATGGCTGCAACTGTTATTTATACCTGTGAGTATTCTATGATATCTATATTGTGTGTTTAGTTTAATTATCTTTAAAGGTACAAAAATGCATTTATTCTATGTCTATGAAAGTTATGAACTGAAATAAAATTGTTTGCCTTGCTGAATGTGTTCACATTTAGAAATAAAGCAAAAAGGGAGATGTGTTCATTTTTCAACTAATGTTGAATCAAGAACTTTTCAATGAGCTAAATAAGTATGGCTGTGGATCTGCCTATCAAACATCTTCACAGTTCAGAGCATCACCTAATGCCAGAGAATTTCATGTAACTTAAGTCTTTGTGTTTGAAGGGCTCAACCAAATAACCTAATTCTTTTTTTTAAATGGCCTAACAGTTTCTTTACTGGCACTTTCCACAGGCACTCAGTTGTCCAAGATAAATTATAGATACAACTTGAGTTATACCCTTGTCCTCTCAGCCAACAACTCTATACATGTTTTCTGATATTCTTAGTCTTATGTACAAATTAAATCAGAGAAAGCTAGTTCTGGACTCACTGGGTTTGAAATAATTAATAATTTATATTTAACTTCAGATATAAAAGCTGTAATCTGAAAAAAAAAATCACCTTAATCACTCTTCCAAAGATTACTCAAACAAGTGGTTTATAAATAACGTATTTCCCCATGTACATTTTTATTAAATATTTTAAACTGCTAAGGAAACAATTAAAGCCTTAAAGAACCTAAAAAAATTAAACAACTTCTCATTAGGTCTTTTGAAACTAAAGCACAACCAGTGAATAACACACACAATTTAAGGCAGGTCCTAAACAGTTAGAAGAGACCTCAGAAACCTCCCAGTCATACTTCTTCCAATTAAAGAACCTGAGGACTGGAAGCTTGTGCAAGACAGTCCCTAAATTGCACAAATGCATGCTATATGGCTTGGGGCTCTTAAGACTATTACATTTAAAATATTAGATTAGAACAATGGAAGTACTTTGAATATTAGTTAATTCCATTTACTTGGCAGGGGATTTTATCAATTGAAATGTTTGGCTCCTATAAGCATTATAACTACCAACACAGATATGGCAAAAATCTTATTATAATAAAACAAATGCAGGTTTCAAATACAAGGAGCCTTGGTGGTATCAAATACAGCATTCTGACATTTTCAAATGCAGTGTTTTCTAACTGAAAAAAAGTCTGTGAGATTTCAGAAAAGAGCTAGTAATATAGGATAGTTCAAACTATGCCACAGTGCATCTCTACAGTGCAAGTAATTTCTACTTGCATAACATAAAATCTTCAAACTTCATGGTAAACCAAATCTGCAATTCATAAATAAACCTTAACATTTAAAAATAAAAGCAAGGCCCGGAGGTCAATTTTCAGCCAAGCAACAGAAACGTCCATTGTTGCTGTTGCGTCGGTTCTGACTCATAGTGACTCTCCATAACGTTTCCGAGGAGCAGCTGGTAGGTTTCAACTGCCCTGCTGTCCAGTGCTTACCCTACAGTGTCACACCAGGACTCTAGAAATGTCTGTGAGGGGAACAACAACACTAGTGAGGTACTATAGAAAGGTTAGAGGATCAAAGGGACAAAGTTCAGAAGGGCTTGGAAAGAAGCAGGAATGGAAGAAAAAACACAGGGAGGAACCAGGATCAGCGATGTAACATTGAAGGAGTGCAATCACTGAAATGGAATGAAGTGTGCATGATGGGTTGAATTGTAAATTCACAGTAAAAAGTTTAAAAGAAATTAAAATGGAATCAAAGGAGGAAAATTATGAATAAAGCCCAAACTGATTTAAAAGACCAGCCTGGAATGGTCTGATAGTGACTGGAGGAACCCCCCCAAGACTTACTCCCTTAAAAGATACCCTTTTAACCTAGGACTAAAGCCACTCCCTGAGGTTACTTGTATGCTAAATAACAGTGTCTTATAAAATAAATAATACCATGAGGAATGTGCTCCTTAGAACAATCAACTGTATGAGACCAAATGGGCACCATTTGCCCAAAAGCAAAGCTGAGAAGGCAAGCATGGGCAGGGAAACTGGAGGGATGGAAACAGGGAAGAGGGAAATAGAAATGGGCAGAGTTCTGACAAATAAGCTGTTGAATGGAAAGCTCATTGGCTGTATGCACTTTTTCCTAGAACACAATGCAATGTTCAAATACTATGTATTTTAAAATGTTAAACAAAGTCATAGCAAAATGAGTTCAAATTGCTCATTTAAATTTCAGAGAGCTCTAAAACTAGATGAAACCGTCTTTTAGATCCACTGTCTGATAGAATGCCAAGTATGACCAATAAGCAATCTCATCAGTATTCACACCATGGAACCCTGTTTGATCTTGCTTTCCTTTTCCCCTGTCTTCTCTGAACCTCTCTCCTTTACCTTACCTTACTGGTCATGCTTTCCCTCCACCTGTTTTCTCCTTCTTCAATATGAGTATTATTTGCTTATTTAAAACAAAGCACTGTTTTATGGTCTTCATTCCAAAAGCACCAAGTTGAACATTTATTTTCTATCTTAGAAAAAAAAAAAAATTTGGCTCACATGTGCCCTATAAGTAATTTTTGTCCCTGTATCTTACGGTTGTTAAGTGCCACCAAGTAAGTGCCAACTCACAGCAAACCTCTATATGGTTTCCAAGGATTGATTGGTGCATTTTAACTGCTGACCTTACAGTTAACAGTCTACTGCTTATCCTACTGCACCATACCAGCACTGCCCCTGTATTTTATAGTCTCTTCCAAAAAACAAAAGATTATCATCTATCTGCCTGCTTTTTTCATAAAAATGTGAACACCCACCTCCAGATACTCATACATGTTTTTGGTTTAATCTGTATATATGCTTTTGGTTTAATCAGGTGTTTCATTACCAAGGTTTTCCAGTTTTGACTGCACACTAGAGGACAGAGGATGGCATGTGGAAGTACACATATTCCTGGTGGTAGCGTAGTGGTTACGAATCGGGCTGTGAACCTCCGGGTCAGCAGTTCGAAACTACCAGCTGTTCCGCGGGAGAAAGATGAGGCTTTCTGCTCCCGTAAAGATTTACAGCCTCGGAAACCCTGTACAGGGTCTCTATGAGTCGGAAGCGACTCCACAGCTCATAATAACAACATGTATGCATAACTACCCTGCCACTGAGACTCAAGCAAAATTGGAGGCTAGGGGCTGAAATGAATCACCATAGAGAAGAAACTACATGCATTTACAGCATAAAGCGACTATACGTACTGGGTAGATTGAAAGCCTGAGTTTAAATGTCATTATGATTCCTTATTCAACAAAATATTCCATTTCATTGTGAGTTAAGTTTAAAAAAAAAAAAAAAAAAAGGCTGCAGTGGTGTTCTATTTAAATCTTTTCCTGAAATATATTTTCTCACAGCCACAAGTAAAAGTCCCTTTATAGTATCAGGAATGTGAATGCCTGAAAAGTTGGTCTCTGGGTTTCATCAATTATCATACAATGCTTTAGCAGTAAGGTAGTTCACATTTGAATGAAAACAGCTTTTATTTTGTCCATAGTTAAGATCAACAACAGAGGTCTCTGATGTTAGATTGCATATCTTTCTGCTCTAGGTTCAGGGGATTAGAATCATTCCAAGAGAATGCCTGACTTTCTACAACAAATCTCTATTGTTTTCTTGTGGAATGTTATTGACAGATTCTGAAACATGCCTTAGATTCCTCTAAAAATTGCCTGCAAGCAAACGGCTTGGAAACAATATAGCATTGTTACATCAATATTACAAAAACAGCAAGTCTGGCTAACCTTTAATCCCAGGTGGTGACATGAGTTATAATTTCATGTGACTTCAAAATGTTTAACATATGGTAAACATTTTATGGCATTTCAAAGTTAGCTTTCACTTCCCACCTCCACCACGTGCCATCCTTTATGTTGTTAGTAATAACACATTTATGCTGCTTTTGGTCTTCCCAGCTTTTTGGGAGCTCTGTTAAGGTTTTTTGTACATGACTCTACTTGAGAAATAGGAGCCCTGGTGGTATTGTTGTTGTTGTTAAATGCCGTCGAGTCAGTTCCGACCCATAGCAACCCTGGATAGGGCTGCAAATCTTTACGGGAGCAGAAAGCCTCATCTTTATCCTATGGAACTGCTGGTAGTTTCGAACTCCTGACCTTGAGGTTCGCAGCCTGACATGTAACCACTGTGCTACCAGAGCTCCTTTACAGTGGGCTGCTAATTGCAAAATTGGTCTAACTGCAAAGTCAGCAGCTCAAATCCACCAGTAACTCTGCAGGAGAAAGATGAGTCTTTCTGTTCCCGCAAAGATTTACAGCCTCAGAAACCCTATATAGAGAGAGTCATGATGACTCGGAACCAACTCGACTGTACACAGCAGCAGCTACTTGAGAACACTGGAGGTTTTCTTAAAATATATCTGGGTGGAGACAAGGAACAGGTTATTTTGTTAAGAGCTCTCCAGATTATTATTAATGCATTCAGATTTGAGAAACACTAGGCTGGAACCATCTGAAAAAATGTCAAGGTCATGCTTTCATGAGCTAAGCAGGCAAAAATGAAGATGGTCAAGCATAGTGCTCAGGTGTCCCAAGATACAATTCATCAACTAAACATCCAGAACAATCAATCAGCTTATATTCATCAGTACAGAGACAAAGATACAGAGGATCTTCTAAAGCAGGGGAGGGGAATGACCAACCCAAGGTCCATACAAGGCCTGCAAAATCATTTGGTCTTGGCCCTGCCAAGGCAACTGCAGCTCCAGCCATCACATTTGTCATTGTTATTGCTAAGTGCCCTCAAGTCAGCTCCGACCCACAGCCACCCTGTATAGGGCTTCTTAGGAGCAGCTGGTGAGCTTGAACTGCCGACCTTGCAGTTAGGGGTGAGCTAATTAAATGTCTGACCAACTATAACAGGCTAATTTTTAAGTTGATAATTTTGTATGGGCTGCGAATGATGTTAGAAATTTTGGCAGAAAAAAGGTTCCCCAACCCTGTTCTACAGGACAAATGCCTTGCTGTCTTAGATTGTCCCAAATTCCTAAAAGCAGAGGTCAGAAGAGGACTTCACAGGGAAAAGGAATAAAACTTGGTGGTGCTGTGGGTTAATGCGTCAGACTGCAAAGCCGTTTGAATTGCAAGGTCGGCAGTTCTAGCTCACCAGCTGCTCCTAAGAAGCCCTATACAGGGTGGCTGTGGGTCGGAGCTCTGGTAGCGTAGTGGTTACGAATCGGGCTGTGAACCTTAAGGTCAGCAGTTTGAAACTACCAGCTGCTCTGCGGGAGAAAGATGAGGCATTCTGCTCCCGTAAAGATTTACAGCCTCGGAAACCCTGTACAGGGTCGTTATGGGTCGGCACCGACTCGACGGCACTTAACAACAACAACAATGGGTTGGAACCGACTGGATGGCAATTAACAACAACAACAAAAACTTTCCACACTGGTGGTTCCTGAGACCAGCTTAGCATTCTTGAAGAGCTACTGAGGGAGACGAGAGGAAAAACATGAAACCGTTTGAACATGAAACCAATCAGGAAAATCCCTATAAATACTGCACTACACTTTGTAGCACAAGTCCTGTGCTGTGGAGGAGGGGAGTAGAAAGCCACTCTGCCTGCCTTTAAAGGGAGAAAAACTCTGCATCTCTCTGTGGTCAAGGGGCCTCCTTCGCATTAGGTCTCCAGTACGGTGAAGACTGTGGGCGTGACAAAGTCTTGGGTTCACCTCTGATATGTGGGTAGGACAGCCTCTGCAGCAGTGGCATCTGGGGGCCAGTAATGTGTCATTGTTGTTGTTAAGTGCTATCAAGTCGGTTCTGACCCATAGCTACCCTGTATAGGGTTTCCAAGGAGCGGCTGGTGAGCTTGAACCACCGAATTTGCGGTTCAGATTGACTCTGCAGTCCAGCGCATTGACTTGCAGTGCCACACCAGGGATATTCAGATCCTGCTACCCTTTGTCACTACACTTCCACTCAACCAGGCCCCGCCTAAAGCTATGCTAATGGCCCTATGACATCAGTGTTGAACTGAAAAGAACAGAAGGAACACAATTGAGAAGCATACTCAGCACCTTGGAAGACAGGCTGATGATCTGCTTCCAAAGGGTCATGGCCTTGAAAACCCTATGAAACCGTTCTACTCGGCAAATCTGAGGTCTCCAAGGATATGATGACAGGAATGGACCTGATGACAACAAACACCACTACCACCACCAATCATAGGTTAGCAGGTGCCTAAGAGACAAAGTTATGTTTTTCCACTTTGGTTTCAATGGATCTCGAATGACAAAAATTTCAGACCTTTTCCAAGTGTATAGATTTCCTCAAGCTTTTTTATTCATTGCTCGATTACGTTTTGCTTTTTAGTACACAACTATAGGCTTTTACTTTTGAACGGTTTTTTACTTCTCTGAGCAATCTCTTACGTAATCTGTACTTTTATTTTCTTTGGTTTTAGTTCAGAGGCTCTGAAGGATTTCTATAGTCAAATTTCAGTATCTTTATACTCACTGTTGTAGTGTTTCAAAGCCTTGTTCTTTATAGAGCAATTCTTGCTTCATCTGTGAGAGTTCTCTCTTCAGCTTTTTAACCTTTTGAGAGAAATCAACATAAATATAAGTGTAAACAAGCAACACAGCACTTTATTTTTAAAGATCATACATTAGCAAAACATGAAGCACATCAACAGAACATCCATTTAGGCAACATTCACTTCAGTGGTGTACATTGCTACCATCACTTTAACAGCAACCCTAATCACTGGACACCATTGTTCCTCCTCTTCCCCATCAACAGTCAGGGGCAGAGTCAAAGCTTCACAGCAAAGTGTTTCTAACTCGAACTGCACTCTTTTCCCTTCATCCACTATGTTCCAAGGTGCACTGGCCACCTGTTTCTCACCAGGTCAGGTTGGTAGGGTCTCCTTCAGCATGTGCAGCTCTTCCCCCCATACCGTCAGTGGCTCACTTCTATCACTTCACTTTCCAATTGGTGAGCCTATCCAAGTCACACCCTGTCCATTAGTGTGTTTTATTTAGTTCATAGTATTTTTCGACAGTAAAAATTACCTGTGTACTGTTTACTGTCTGTTAACTTGGGAAAGGGAAGTGTATTATACTAGTGATTCCTCATGCTTCTGGAACAGTACCATGCAAACAGAAGGTGATTAAATATTTATTGACTCTCCATTATGTGTCAAGTCCAAGGTCTAAAGTGTAATAAAATATGAGATGCTCACATGGATCTTATAGAACAATGGGGGTGCCAGATACTGAGCAAACGATCATCCAACTGAACAAATCTTATCAAATACCACAGGTACTATAAAGGAAAAGTTAAATATGCTTTGAGATAAAAAGGGGAACAAGATCTAATTCAGTCTCTCAAGGGGTTGGATAAAGCCTTTCTGAAGAAAAGACTTTTGAGTTGACAGAAAGGGCTAGTGGGGGTTCCCTTGATAGAAAGAGGTTTTGAAAAGGCAGAACTTGTACCAAAACCCAAAATGGGGAAGGGGCCAGTAACTCAGCAAATCTCTGGAATTTAACAAATGCTACTGTTGTGGTGCCTTAGGATATGCACTCGACTTCAGGGTTGGCAGTTCAAGCTCACCAGGCACTCCTCAGAAACCCTATACAGGGCCACTATGAATAGGAACTGACTTGATATCACTTAACAATAACAACAACACTGTTGCTGGAAGGACTCCTGGTGTGGTGCTGTAGGATCAGCACTGGACTGAGAAACACAAGGTTGGCAGTTCGAAACCTTGGAAACCCTATACAGAGTCATTATGAGTCAGAACCAACTTGTGGTTCTGACTCTTAACAACAACTGTGGCTGGCTAACAGGGACAACATGTGACATGAGATGGGACTGGAAAGAAGGGCTGGATCATACAGTCTTGGAGCCAAATTAAGGATTATTTTATTTTATTTTAAACTAAGAACAATGCGAAACAAGGGTGGGGGTAGTTGAAGAATGATTTCAGTCATGATTGTAACTTATCACTGTGATGTCTCTGCTGTGAACAGACCAGGTGATCTACTCCCTGGGTTGGGCTGTGGGCAGTGCTGTAGCCAACAGAGGCCACAGAAGGAAGATATTTTGGAAGCAGAGTCAGTACAGCTTAGCAATGGACTGAATACAGAGGGAGAGGAAAACAATGTGTCAACGACTATTTCAGAGTTTGAGCTTGCCAGCTGGGTGAATGAAGGCATTTTTTTTGAGAGTTGGGCTAGATTTGGGAGTAAAGATGAAGAATTTTCTTTTGGTCAGGTTATTTTTGAGATACTTGTGAGGCTTCAGTGAGAGCGTGGTAGCTCTAAAAGATAAGCATTGTACTACAAAGCCCAAGGCCACGGTTTGAAACCACCAGTCACTTTGTAAGAGAAAGATGAGGCTTTCCGCTCCCGCAAAGATTTAAAGCCTCAGAAACCCTGTACAGGGTTTGTTATGAGTCAGAACCAACTTGACGACACTTAACAACAACAAATGCAGCTTCAAAGACAAGTAGAATATGTAGGCTTTCAATTTAGAAGACATGTCTTAACTAGAGATAGGAAATTGAGTCACTGACATAAAGATGATATTTAGATTCATGAGAATATCACCTACTTAGAGTGTGAAGATGCCCTGGCAGCATAGTGGGTGCATGTTGGACTGCTAACCACAAGGTCAGCAGCTTGAATCCATCAGCCACTCCTTGGGAGAAAGAGGAGACTTTCTGCTCCCATGAAGATTTACAGCCTCAGAACCCCTATACAGGGCTCACCATGAGTTGGAACCGAATTGACTTGATGGTATAAAGCAACAGCAGCAGAAATAACACAGGGAGTGTGATGCTGTGGATTATACCTTAGGCTGCTAACCACAAGTTTGGTGGTTTGAACCCACCTGTTGCTCCATGGAAGAAAGATCAGGCTGTTTCCATACAGATTTACAGTCTCAGGAATCCTACATAGGGTAACTGTGAATCAGAACTCACTCAAGGGCAGTGGGTTTGGTTTTCTGTTTTTGTTTAATAGAGAATTTTGTTTTCATGAAAAATGTGCAGGAACAAGCCTAGGGCACCTTTTAAATTCAGAAGTCTAGGAAAGGACGAGACAAACAGACTATGAAGTGGTGGTGAGAGAAACTCCCCTCCAAAAAACAAAACTAGTTGCTATCCAGTCAATTCCAATGCATGCCAACCCTGTATATTTCAGACTAGAGCTGCGAGCTGCGCTCCACAGGCTTTTCAGGGCAGATCACAAGCCCATTTGTATGAGGTGGCTCTGGATAGATTCAATCTGCCAAATTTACAGTTAGTAGCCTAGCATTTAACCACTGTACTACTTAGGGACCTCTATGGTAAGAGAAATTGTTAAGAAAAAAAGACTGAAAGAAAACTCAAGGAGAAGACTAGGCACTATGAGGACAAGAGCTGAGTAATACTTGTGTATATACCTGTTAAGGCACAGTGCACTTTGGATAAAGTTGTTGTTGCTAAGTGCTGTTGAGCTGGATCTGACTCATAGTGATCCTGGATAGCATTTCTGAGAAGCGGCTGGTGAGTTTGAACCTCCAACCTTGTGGTTAAAACCAACCTTGCAGTCCAGTTCTTATCCTATGGTGCCATATCAGGATTCTAATCTGTTGGATTATATGAATGTTTAGCAGTTTGTGCCCTCAGACTTTTATACTTCATTAGAGGAAATAAAAATTATGTTGCAATGCCCCATGTATAAGTACAAAGTCATAAACAAAATGCCATTGGAATGCACAGGAAAAAAGGATTATTTATGATTTAGAGAATAGGGCAAATCTCTGATTCCCAAACCATGAGTAGGAAGAGAGGAAACTGAATTGGATTTTGAAGGTGCTTTAATATTAATGGAAAGAAATGAGCTCTTTAATGGCGTATCATAGCGCCATTTCAGTTTTAGCATTAGACTATTATCATGTCAAAAGAGCCATCAGTAATCAATAGCTCATTCCATGTGTACTTCTATGTCTGACAGCACTTGAGAGTGCTTGTTGCCAAAAAAGACAGCAACACTTTTATTTAAAAAAACTGAATCCAAAAATCAATAGCCACTCAAATAGCGGGAGTGAAAGCTGTCTTCACCTTTGAGAACACAGTTGGTAAAAACACAGGTGATACTGAGCCCTCTCAGAACAATTGAACAGAAGTCCCTAGTATGTCTCATTGATATAAAATAGCATTCCACTTATAAAGATTTGGATTGTGAAAATGGACCAAGTGAAATTTTTTCCAGAATTATCATCTAACAATAATCTGAAATTCCGTTTTGATATGACATACTCTCCTGTCTAGGTGATGTGAATGAGACTGTATTGTATGCTGGGGGGTTGGGGGGGTGGGAATGCCATAAGCAGCTGACCTGTGCTTATTTTTCATCCACATTTAAAGTCGGCTGTAACCTAATGTTTTCATTTTGCTTGTCAGTCTTAATAGATTACGTGAATGATTACCAGTTCCCCAAATCAATGATGCACTGTGTTTTTTAGAATATGATAGAGTTCTTTCACATTAGACTGACACAGAAAAACATATAATATTCAATTGTTTGGGGTTTTAAGAGTACAGGTTTAATTACTGTACTGTAGTTCAACTCTTAGAATCATTTGACAACACTCATTAGTTATAGTGGATCACTGTTCTTATTCTTCTATTCCTCACTCCCCTAAATGTAGAGAACAGTGTTGATAGAGAACAGCTAGAACATTAAACTAATGGTGCTGTAGGATCAGTACTGGATTGCAAACCACAAGGTCAGCAGTTCAAAACCTACCAGTTGCTTCTTGGAAACCCTATACAAGGTGGCTATGAGTCGGAACTGACTTGACAGCACTTCACAACAACAAACAACTTTATTTCAAGGTAGATTCTATTGTTGTTGTTGTTGTTAAATGTCGTCAAATCGGTTCCGACCCACAGACACCCTGTACAGAGTTTCCAAGGAATGGCTGGTGAGTTTCAACTGCTGACCTTGCAGTTCAAACTGAATTTGCAGTCCAGAGCATTAACCCACAGTACCACATCAGGACTCTAACAATTATGAGAGCTAAAATTCATGAGTACTTTATATGTTCCAGACATTGTGCTAAGTATTTTGTTGTTCTTGTTGTGAAGTACCACAGAGTCGGTTTTAAGTCATATTGACCCTGTATAGGGTTTCCAGGGAACAAATGGTGGGTTTGAACTGCTGACCTGACAGAAGCAGTTTTCATTTGCTTTCTGTAAGTAAGAACTCCAAGACCTAATATAAAGTGACCTGCTTTATGCTGCTACTAACCAGCTGCTCCTTGGAAACCCTATACAGGGTTGTTATGAGTCAAAACCGACTCAACAGCACCTAACAACAACAACAAGGTCAAGGTCCCAGTAGAATTTGTTTGATAACTACTACAATTTTCAAAGTTTTAATTATTGAGGAAAGAAAAGATATGTATGAACAAAGAAAATTAAGATCTGTTGCAAAACAGCCAAAATACAATCTACGTCTTTTATTCTACCTTAAAGCTAAAGGTCTCCATTATTCCTATGTTGTTGTTGATATTGTTAGTGCCTTTGAGTCGGCTCTGACTC